TTTTATAAGCTATGCTGCCATGGAATAGGTTCTTCCAATTTCCGCAGTCCAAGAATGGTGTTTGGTACCGGATGATCAGACATGTGAGGTGGCGTTAACTGGTCCGCTGGGTCACTCTGGTTCCACACCATGTTTAGTAGGTGGAAGGTAACCCGGAAGGCCGCAAGGTTTTGTGTTCACTTTCGTGCAAGATTGGGTGGGAAGTGATCTTCTTGGGGACAACTGGTTCCTGTAAACAAAATCTTCACTGCCCCTGCACTGTGAAGTCGCATTGGGTCCCAGGAATATCCACGGAGCTGCTGATCTGCTGCACTTGTTGCGGGGTCAAGATAAGTGCAAAACAGGTTTCTGGAAAGCGCTGGCTCTTGTCTGATGCTAGACTGGTGGGTTTTATCCGTTTATCCAGTAAGTCAGAAAATAGTATTTTTCGAGGTTTTTTACCCGGATGGACTGGGTGAAGAGCTGAGGTAAGATGTGGGAGCTCAGGGTCGTGTTTAGGTCCCAGAAGAGGAACGGGGAGTATCGTGACGATGCAGGGTGACCGTCCTAAGTGAGCTGTGGGATGGAGGGTGGAGGATGGAGACAAAGTTGCTGGTGCAGGACTTGAGTGCACCCTAGGGATAGACAAGTCCGCAGGTGTCACGGTTTCCCGGAGAATCGCCACCAATAGAGTGCTTTAATTTTCATTTGCACAGCGGGACTACAGCCAGCCTTGAGTAAATGCAGGGCTTTGGTGAGAAGTTCGTGCTTGCATCCGTGCTTATTTCTCCCAGCGTAGCCCAATGATACTTGGAGTTCAGAAAATCTAGGGCTCATAATCATTGGCTTTAGTCCCGCACTGTCCACCATCTTGTATCTCCCAGCACCATTTGTTAAGGAGGTTGTCTTTCCTCCAGCACAAGGTTTTGGCTCCTTTGTCAAAGATCAGGTAGCTTGGTATGCTTGGAGATGTTTCCATATCCTCTATTCTGTTTCACTGATCCACAGGTCTGGTTTTCCCCCTAATATCATGCTATTTGTATCACCGTAGCTTTGTTGTATAACTTAAGTCTGGAATTGTGATTCTTCCTGCCGTGCTCTTGCTATCCAAGATTGCTTTTGTCATGCTAGGTCTCTTCTAGTTCTATATGAAATTTTTTATTGTTTTCTCTAGTTCTGTGAGGAATGCTCTTGGAATTGTGTTAAATCTGTATATTAGTTTGGGAAGTATGGCCTTTTTGACTGCATTTCTTCTGCCTATCAAAGACCAGGGCATATTTTTCTGTTTTCTTATGCCCTCTCCCATCTCCATCCTCAGGGTACTGTAGTTTTCAGCACAGAGGTCTTACACTTTCTTGGTGCTATGGCTTTTATCTAGAGGTCCCCCCCAAAGCCTCATGCACTCGTAGGTGGGACTTTTCAGAGCCAGTTGGATCTAGGGTGCGACGTTGGGATTAAGAGCACCGAACTCGGTGTGGGTGGCATTGCCCAAAGGGCAGGTAGCCTGGCTGAACTTGTACCTGTACATGATGTATCTTGCTTCTTTTTTTCCTCCCATTCCCCTCCCCTCCCTTCAACCCCTCTTCTGCAGCCTCACACACCCTAGATCCAGCCACCGTCCAAGGGCTCCACACAGGACCGCATGAAGTTTTGGAGTATATCCACATACAAGCCGTAATATTCAGTGTTTTTATGTCCTCTTGGTTCAGCTTTTGCAGTTTATATGTATCTAGGAATCTATCCATTTCTTCTGCTCAGAATTTGTTTTTGTGTTAATTCATTTTTCATGTTTCTTGTATGTCTAAGTAACTGGCCTTTGAAAGCTTCCCTTCCAGGCATGGTGGCGCACGCCTGTAATCTCAGCACTTGGAAAGCTGAGGCAGGAGGATCACTGCAAGTTGGAGGCCAGCCTGGGCTACAGAGTGAGTTCAAGGCCAGCCTGAACTGCATAGTGAGATTCTGTCTCAAAAAAGACAAAAAAAGAAAAGAAAGCTTCCCTATCTTCTAATTCTTATATTCCTCCTCACATTGGTCACTTCTCCTCCCTTACTTTCAATATAATTTTTAATGTCTTCTATGTCTTTCTTTTTTGGGGGGGTACCAGGAATTGAACTCATATACCTTGTGCTTGCCAGACAGGCACTTGTGCACTTAGCTATATCCCCCACCCAATGTCCTGTATTTCTGTTTGCAACCTTTTCATGGACTCTAGTTCTTTGCTAACTTGGTCATACATGTTTTGTTTTGGTACCAAGAATTGAACTCAGGGACTCATGCTTGCCAGGCAGGGACTGTGCCTCTGAGCTATATCCCTGGCCTTGTCTTATGTGTTTTGCATCATTTTGTTTAGCTTAGCTAGCTTTTTGTTAGGTCTTCTGTAAACTCCCTTATTGTTTTATTACCTCCATGTTGATCAGTTATGTCTTCCGTGAGCCTGAGGCACCTCACTGATCTTTTTTTCAATCTTCTCTGTTCTCCTTTTGAGTAACTGAGCAGTGTGGCCTTTGCCTTCCTCCCCTCAGTGCCCATGGACTGGCTCTGGGGGCGCTGGGAGTTGGGGGAGTTCTGCTCCTTGCCTCCTCATGTTTCTATTATTTGTTTATCTGTGGCCTGGGCGTGTGTTACAGTGGACAGGCTTTGCTGTTTGTATGCAGATCTCTTTGAGCAGTCTGCTTTCGGGTGATGCACTCAGGGAGTGGCTAACAAAACTCCTCTGCTTCTGTCCCAATCACCTTCTGTCCAGATCACCTCTGTTAATGTGGGGGGAGTGCAGTGCAATTGGCCCAGCACCCAATTCTCTGGGAATGGACCACAGTACTGCTAACACCACAGGTAATCCAAGTACCGGCATAAAGAGAAAACTTACTAATAGCAACGTCTTTGCAACCCTAGATATATGAAGTAAATCAGCAATAATATCATCCAAGACAAACTGGATATTAGCATCCCATAAAACCGGTAATGTACCACCTTTAACCTTAGAAATCTACACTTATAGTATAAACCCTAAGACAAACCAAATATTGACATACAGCAAGTAAGTACTAAATGCGGTAACAGTACCTTTGATAATCAGAAAAGAATTCAACAGTAGTAACAGAGTTAACTAACTCTCTGGAGATTAATAAACCTTGATGGTTATACTATTAAAGATATAAGGGGTTGAGAATGGGAGGATGCAAAAAGAAAAATTTGAAAAATTAATGGGTGACGAGGAGAGAAAAGTGAGACAAAGGATCCTATTACGGAGGGAAGGGTAGTGGCACCTCGGTTCACAAACTTAGTTCTTCCCACGATTCTAGTTCCAAAATATATTTGCAATGTGGTTGTGACCAGGATCACGGGAAGAATTAAGTTTGTACACTGAGGTACCACTGTATTCGTAGACTTAGGGAAAAAAAAAATAGAAGACTAAAAGGAACGAGAGGCCACCGTGTTCTGCTTTCTCTTGCGTGGTGGCACAAAACTCTCACATCATGTCACACCGCCACCCACACCCACCTCTCTGTCGCCATGGGAACCAGCACTGACCGCCCGCTGGGTGGCGCGAACCTCACTGCCCAGGCCTGCTCCCCCGCCCCTCCCCCACGCCGGGCTCCGCACGCGCCGCTCCGGACTCCAGGAGCCCCGTGTCCCTTCCAGAAAAGGTCCTTCCCTGTACCCGCAGCACCCCAGGTGTCCAGCAGGGTCCCCCAGCAGTGTCCGGCCCTGGCGCAGGGCCGGGGCTCAGCCGGGCGTGGTGAGCGGAGTCGTGGAGCACAACTGGACACCCTGACCAGGAGCTGCCCGGACCTCCGCTCTGGGACTCTGCAGTGTTCCCGTGCCACCCGAGCACCCCGGCCCTTGTCACAGCGCACAAGCGCGACGCGGTGTCACCGACCAGCGCAGCTTCTCTTCTTTTTCTCTTTCCTCTCCCTTAGTCATTCATTCCTGTTGGCAGTAACCCGGGGCACTTTACCACCACTGAGCTACATCTCCAGCCCTTGTGGAGTCAGAGCCTAAGTTGCCCAGGTGGTACTTAAACTTGTGATCCTCAGCCTCAGGCTCTCTCAGAGCTGGGATTCAGGCGTGTGCCACCGCACCCAGCCACAGCGTCTACTCCCACCCCTGCAGCAGCACCGCTGCACAGGTAAGGTTAACCTCACACGCATGAGAAAGTCTTGGCGATGCGTGATATGCCAGCCAGGACTGCTTCCTTTAAAAAAAAGAACCCCTTCCTCTGTCTGGAGGCCCAGAGCGGAAGCAAGAGCTCTGGCTGCTAGGGTCTCCCGGGGCCTCTGCCGTGCGCTGGCTGCGATGACAGCTGGAAGGGGCTGGACTGTTACTTCACCTTCCTCCAGCAACAAGCAGTTTCTCCGGTGTGGCCTGGGGCCCGCGCACGTGAGGAGCCCGATCTCAAGCCCCCGGGACACTCACTGCATGCTGGGGTCCTTGGCCCTGTGTGTGGCATGCGCACAGGCATTTTTCAGAGGAAGCAGTGTCAAGTCTGCAGTTGGGGATGGTTCCTGGCTGTCCTGAAATGGGCAGTGGCACATCACGGTGACGGGTGATGAGACGAGCGGCCTGGGCGCTCACGGCCCGGGTGTCAGCGCCCCACCTCCTCAGGGTGGAAACACTGCTCTCCAAATTCCATCTGGCCCGCCACCTCCCTTCCCCAAATATTGAGGCTACAGCGGGTACAGCGACGCAAGGCCTCACAGACGGAACACCCAGCTCCTTTGGGGGAGTCTTGCTGTCTGTGGCACTGCAGATTGAACCCAGGGTCTGGCACTGAGCTACATCCCCAGCACTTTTTTATTCTGAGACAGGGTTTTGCTAAGTTGCCCAGGCTGGCCTTGAACTTGCAACTTCCTCCTTAACCTCGTGAACAGCTGGGGTTATAGGCCTCTCCCTTGTGCCTGGCCCTTGGGGGTAGTTGGTGAGCAGAGCACGGAGTTAATCAATGACAAGAGGCACTGGTGACTTGGGAGCTTTGGAGGGCCAGGGCGGGGCGCCATGGAGTGGAAGCATGAGGCAGCAAGTGACGGAGCCCCAGGATCTGAGCGGGCGCTTTATTCCCCGTTCTTTTCATACGACGCAGTAGTTGGCAAGGCCCTGAGGGTTGTTTTCTTATTCTTTTGTGTCCCCCAAGTCCCCTTCCAGAATATCATTATCATTAGTATTCTGGGTGGTCGGCAGTCTAACGAGGAAGCTGGAGGCCGGTCGTTCGGCTGGGCCCATGAGACTGAGGCCCAGCTTCCCCGCAGCTCTCAGCTGACCCCGTCCTCAGGGCTTCTCCGGGACGCCTCCTGCGGGATGCCCGCTGTGCCAAGATGGAGAAGCCGGGCGGGTGGCAGGAATCACACATAGCTGGCCTTTCCAAGCACATCGTTTACCAAGCTGGGGTGTGGCCGGCCACAGGGACATGGGCTCCTGCGGTCCACAGGCCTAAGTCGGACGCTTCAGCTCCATCTTGGCCACGGTGACCCGGTGCACCTCGTCAGGGCCGTCGGCAAAGCGCAGCGCTCGGGCCCAGGCAAAGAACTGTGCCAAGGGGTAGTCGCTGCTCAAGCCTGCTGCTCCAAAAGCCTGGTGGACACAAAGTAGGACGGGAGGAACTTGAACTCCAGGCATCCTCCTGCCTCGGCCTCCTGAGGGCTGGGATTACATGCTTTGATCAACACTCCCAGTTTATAGGGTTGAAGACAAGGAAAATCGCATGTGCAGTGAGTGGGCAATGAGGGCAGCGGTCAGGCTCCACAGACTTCTGGCGGCTAGAGGTGGGCATTCCCCATCTGCTGCCGTGGATTAGACACATCACTCACCGGTGCATGCTCACCTGAATAGCACGATCAATCACCCGGGAGGCCATGGACGGGGCTACCATTTTAACCATGGCGATATCTAAAGCTGCAGCCTGCAGGGAGGAGGAGAGGAGGTTACGAGGAGCCAAGGGCAGGCAGCTCGGAAGAATAATCAGTTCCCAAGAATGCAAGGATTCAACAGTCAAGCGCCGCATCCCCCAGGTCTAGCTCGGTCGTCAGCACATGCGAAATACTGGTAACCACCAGGGTGACACCGGGCAGCAGGGGTGTGGCTTGTGATCTGTTGCTGGCCACAGCCAGCTCCATTTGGGCTGGCTTCCTGGGCCTGCTGGTGAAGGGGCAGAGGCTGTCCAGAGGGAGCTGCACAGGCGGGACCCAACGAGGGCATCATGCCGTTCCGGACACTGTGCAGGAGCCTTAGTGCGTAACATCCCCTTGGAAATGAGCCCCTGTTGGCTGAGTCCACGTTTGGGCTGGGCAGGAAGGGGTCTCTGACTCCTGCACCAATGTGCTCCGGGAGTCCAGAAAGCTCAGTCCTTTTCGGGTTTTGAATGGCTGCCCAGACAGTTCCAAGCAAAACCAAAGTGATTAATGTCAAAGAGCCACACGGAGAGGGAACAGATTCTCACACCGGGACGCCGTGACCTCTGTCATCTCTGAGGCTCCCGGAAGAGCCCTGGGCCTCCTACCTTATTTCCTGCCACGTCCATGAAGTGAGCAGCCTTCAGCACCAGCAGCCGTGCCTGCTCGATCTCCACGCGTGACCGCGCTATGTCGGCCAGGATCGTGCCCTGCTCCACCAGGGGCTTCCCGAAGGCCACGCGGGACTTCACCTGGGGAGCCCAGAGACACCGAGCTGCGGCCGTGCTCGGCTGAGCGTGGTCTAGAGGGGCCCAGGGGCTGGTGGCCTGCAGAGGTGGGCGGGAGCACGCGCAGGAGCGGGCGGGAGAGGAGCGGGAAAGCAGCGCATGCTGTTTCTCAGCCATTCACCAGCTCTCCAGCCCAGGCACTTGCCGGGGAGATCCAGATGCAGGTAACATCCACACGACCGTGTCAGGCCAGTCCTCGTGGCGGGTGTACCTTCACTTCAAGGACCCCTTGCTGCAGCAAGGTGGCCGCCTCTGGGCAGGCAGGAGCTGTGCTTTCAGAGCTGAGCCAGCACCTGGCCCAAGCTTACTCCTAAGAAGTAGTTCCCATGAGAGCCTCACCTGACTAGGGAGAGGGCACCCCCTGCTGGTCACAGCCAGCCTCACATCCCTGAGCCAGGCCACCAAGTCTACAAGAGGGGATTGACTTTATGTATGTATGTATGTATGTATGTACTTATGTCTGTATGCACGTATTTATTGATTGATTGATTGATTGTCTTTTTTGAGTCAGGGTCTTGCTATGCAGTTCAGCCTGACCTTGAGCTCACTTTGTAGCCCAGGCTGGCCTCGAACTTGCCACAATCCTCCTGCCTCAGCCTCCCCAGTGCTGGAATTACAGGCATGTGTCACCAAGCCCACCATTTTTTTGGTTTTTTGACAGGGTCTTTCTATATAGTTCAGGCTGGCCTTAAATTCACTATGTAGCTCAGGCTGGCCTCAAACTCAAGGTGATCCTCCTGCCTCGGCCTCCTGAGTGCTGATTATAGGCCTGTACCACCAAACTTGGCTTGCAAGGGAGATTTTAGTCTGAAGGCCATGAGGCTTTAGAAAAGGTTACAAGTATTCTTTTCTTCCCCCCTTGTTTTATTAGTTTAATTATCTCAACTAAAAATAATTTCTACACAAATATTCTATGGCAGGAAAACTTAATTTTCAGACCAAAAAAAGAAGAAAATAGAAATACCTACCATCCCATTATCTAGTTAATATTTATATTCAGTGCATGCCCTTCTAGACTTTTTGTGTGCAAATATATGTACACATACTTTTTAAAAATAAAACATGATATAGTCGCACTCTATATGTTACTTTGTAACCTGCTTGCTTTTTGTGTGTGTGTGCGTATGTTTTTGAGACATGGTCTCACTACGCAGTTCAGGCTGTCCTTGAGCTCACTTTGTAGCCCAGGCTGGTCTTGAACTCGCAACGATCCTCCTGCCTCAGCCTTCCGAGTACTGGGATTACAGGTGTGAACTTGTAATATGCACCTGTATGGCCAGCTTTGTAACCTGCTTTCTAAAATGTGAGAGTATATAGTAAAGACCTCTCTATTTAAAAAATAAGTTCCCACCCGTCTTGTGCGGATTTTTATTGTGTTGTAGTCACTTGCCCAGCCCTTTTAAAAGTCACTTCTGATCTGATGGGCATATGGGTTGCTTCCATGGATAAAAAGTTATGGTATTTTTATATAATGCAATATTACTCAGCTATAAAGAAAGATAAACTCGAGGTTTTTATAGGTAAATGGACACAACTAGAGACCATACTCATAAGTGAAATAAATCACACCTGCATGCGTAAACACCGTATTGTCTCACTAGTGTAAGAACCTGAAAGAGTGAATAAAATCTAAAAGGCATGACAGATATTGTGAAAGGGAAAGAAACTGCTCAAAAGGAAAGAACAACTGGGATGAGGGAAAACAGAGAAGAAAGAAAGAAGGGAAAAATATGTATATGTGTATGTACAGGATAGCTAAGATAGTTGTACTACTGATTTCTATTGCTTTATTGAAAGGAAGTTAATGTTTAATTGTTTGATCAATCTTACATGCCTATTTTTGTTCATCTGAGTAATCAATATGAAGATATCAAAATGTAATACAATAACCATTGTTAATTTCCTATCACCTTGTCTGAAATTCTGTATTGCTTGTATTGTTTTTGTGTTATTTCGTAAGTGTCTGCGTGTCTGTTAATATGTTTTCATTCTTTTATCTTTAAAATAAAAAAAGTCACTTCTGAACACAGAGACTGTTAGGGGATGTTTCAGATCTAGCTGCAAATATTTTACAGATCCCTAAAGACTGTTATATCCAGTCCTGAGCAGAGCTGCTATGTTAACACTATGTAGTTTCTGAAGACTTCTGACACATACAGCGAAACTGCTCTGCCATAAGCCAGGCGTGGTGGCACAAGCCTGTAATCCCAGCACTCAGGACACTGAGGGAGGAGGATCACAAATTTGCGTTCAGCCTGAGCACGACAGTGAGACCTGCTCTCAAAAAACAAAAATCCAACAATAGCTGAATGTGGTGTCACATGCCTGTAATCCCAGTACTCAGGAGGCTGAGACAGGAGGATCACTGTAATTTCAAGGCAGCCTGGGCTACAAGTTCACAGCCAGCCAGAACTACATAGTGAGACCCTGTCCCCCACCAAAAAAATAAACAACAACAAAAAACCAACAACAATCAAAAAAGAAAAAAAACCACAAATTGCCCTGCCAACGGCCGGTCTGATCTTTAATGCCATATGCAGCTGAATTACCATACCTGAGCCCATACAGAGGGGCACTTAATTTTCAAAGAGAAAAGAACTGGTCTGTCTCAGCCAGAAGCGTGTAAATCACAGGTCTGTTCAGGATTCGAAAGGCATCTGATGGCCTTGGTTCTCTGTAGAGCATTTCTCACGAGGTACTTGTTTCTGTATCAAGGGTTCACTCCATTGTGAAATCAGTACAGTTGAAGTGAATTCCTGTCCCTGCAAGTGGCTCTTTTACATATGCTTCTGACCTTTGGGGGGCTCACAGCAGACTGCGTTTTCTGGACATGTGGGAGAGGAGGGCGGTACAAGACCCGACGCTGGAATCCAGGGAGGAAAACAAGAACACGGTTTTCCCTGGCATCTGACGGCTAGCTCCGCGCCAGAAGCCCACCACGCTCTCGGCAGCCAGGGACGCGGTGGGCCCTGGAACCTCACCCCCGGCTGCCGGGGAGCCTGGCCGCTCACTCCCAGCCACCTCAACAGCCCTTTCTGTTCTCAGCGCGAAGCGACAGCAGAGTAGCAGAAGCCAAGCAAACGCAGGGGTGCAGCTTCTCAGCTTCCCCGCTCAGTCTGCCCTCAGGAAAGAGTTAGATTTGAAGTCCGCCAGCACGGCGGAGGCGGCTGGGTCAGCGTGTGGGCGCGGGGGTGGGGGCACTCACGCGGGCCTTCATGAGCGCCAGGGCCCGCTCTGAGAACCCAATGAGCCTCATGCAGTGATGGATCCGGCCGGGCCCCAGCCTGCCCTGGGCAATCTCAAAGCCTCGGCCAGGACCCAAAATCATGTTCTCCTTGGGCACACGCACGTTCTCAAATCGGATCTCACCGTGGCCGCCTGAAAGACAAACACCCCACCTTGAGCGACTGTCACTACTGTCTTCCTGGATGCCTTGCTTCCCGCCCGCAGTTCTGATGGTCTGCTGGCGATACTCCTGCCCCTCGCTTAGCCTTCTGAGTCACAGCCAAAGGGGCACGAAGGAGCCTCTTAAAGGTGCGAAAGGAATCACTGATGTATAATGGTGAACCAAGATTTTGCCACTTTTTCTACACAAGCATTATAAAGCAACCTCAAGCTGAAACTCCGGAGCATGTGACTAATAATATAGAATCTCTCGAAGCACCAACAGGGAAAATGTGAGCACTGTTAGCAGAGAAACCCTCACCCTGCTCAAAGCCTTTCCCACAGACCAGACCCACCCTCGGTGGGGCCTGCCCCGGGAGGGCTAACCTGGCGCATCCTCCAGCCCATACACAGACAGAGGCCTGAGGATTTTTATCCCTGGGGTATCCATGGGAACCAAGAGCATGGACTGCTGCTGGTGTCTTGGCGCCTGTGGGTCTGTTTTCCCCATAAATATGCAGAGCTGGCAGCGCGGATCCATGACGCCTGCCAAAAAAGAAGAGAAACAGGTTCTATCAGCCAACGTCGGGGCCATCATGTTTCCACATGAGGTCTTAGCCCAGGAAAGGCTGGGCCAGCGGCAGACAGAGCTGTGTGGGATGTGACATCATCAGACCGGCCTTTGCGGGCTCCACAGCAAAAATAAAGCAAATGGAGCTTTGTTGTCCTGAGGCGAGACTCTAGCATCATAAAAGCAAATTTTTAAGAAGCACCACAGTAGAGTTAAAAATGTAATTCAGAGACAAGACACCGAAAATCATTACTTCACCCAGCCAGCCTGCTCCGTTCTGTCCTCTCGCTCGTGTAAAAAACGACTCTCAGCAGCACCGGCCTCGGAGTCAAAACAGCTGAACTGGTTCCGTACTTGCCGGCTGGGGGCTAGAACCACAGGCACGTGACTCCAGTCACTCTCGGAGCCTTGGTTCCTACCTCTGGGAAGTGGGAATGATAACCCGTCTTCTGGGCAAGTGTGGGGCTCCGTGACATGGGGCCCTCAGAGCGCTTATGGGTTGCCCCAGACCCCAGGATATAACACACCTGCCCTAGGGGTATGGGGAAGCCTCGGAGGAAGTGACCTTCTGCCCTTTCAAGGAAGCTGCTGTGGGGAGAATGGAGAGAGCAGGGAAGTGAGGAGGTTCTCAGAGCATGTGCAGGAAGAGACAGCTACAGGAGTGGTTGTCCGGTGACACCTCGTCCCCATAGGAAGTGCTTGAGCACAGCGTGCCCAGCAGCAGATTCTTGTTCTCTTAGCGCGTGCTGCCTCTGCTGGGTGCGCGGTGACCGAATCTCCATAGTGTCAACTGAGAAGCAAGAGGCTGTCCCCTTTCTACGGTCAAGAGACCCGCTTATCACTACAGACCGAGTGATATGTACTTGAAAGCACACTGCAGGCCAAATACCTGAGGTCCACCACTTGTGACCGTTTATGACATAGAAACCTTCCTCCTCTCTGATGGAAGCCTCGATGTTGGCGGCATCTGATGAGGCGACCTGTAGGGGGCACACTCCTGTTAGAGCCGCCAGTGGCCCTTGCTCCCCGCAGGCAAGGACGGTCCGCGCCAGGTACCTGGGGCTCCGTCATGGCGAAACAGGAGCGGGCCTTGCCTTCTAGCAGCGGGGCCAGCCAGCGGGCCTTCTGCTCCTCGGTGCCGTATCGCACCAGGACCTCCATGTTCCCCGTGTCGGGGGCCGAGCAGTTGAATATCTGAATGACAGAAAGAGCGCCTGGTGACGTCCAGCCCACACTGAGAATGTCAATTTCATGCCACAGACCCCCTTCACAACGCAAGGGGTCCTCGGGTTTGCAAACAGAGCCACAGACGCTGAGGCCCTGCCGCAGAACCTGTCTGTCCGCAGGAAGGACGCTGGCGTCAGCCTGAGGCTTGCATAGCTCCCCAGGTCCTGGGCGACCCCGCCCTGAGGTCCTCCCTTACTGCAGCTCCAGCCAGGGGCCTGCAGTTGTCCTCCCTCCTGATAAGAAGCTCAAGTTCACATCGGTGCAGATCAGACTGTGTGTGCAGGAGGGCAAGCAGCAGGCCATGCGGCGATGTCCCCACGGAGGGCTAGGAGGTTAGCACGCTTAGGGGGCTTTGGAGAGGTACCTCAGGAGCGTACAGCGACATGCCCATGACCTCACACAGGTGCGCATACTCCACGTTGGTCAGTCCTGCTCCGTACTTCCTCTCGGGGTCAGTCTCCAAGGGTAGGAAAAGGTTCCAAAGGCCTTCGGCCTTGGCTTTCTCCTGTCATGGGAAAGCAAGCTGGGGAAACCCAGCAACGGGCTGAGCTTTTGTTCTGACCCCGGGAACACAGTGAAAGGAACTAAAGGGGAGAAGGTGGCAGCCAAAGATAGGGCGTGTGCCAAGCACAAGGACGCTGGCTGCATACGAGCTGTGGGTGTGTGGGTGGGACAAACGCAAGATACACCGGACTGGGAGGCTCTGCAGAGAGATTTCCTCTGGATTTGTTTCTTATCTGTGAAACTACGACGGATCCACCCTCCCACCAGGACTGCTGAGCTGCAGCCACAGAAACAGAAGGCAAGTAACCAGAGGCAAAAAGGACAGCGTGGGAAGCCTGGCTGGGCTCCAGCACCGGACAGAGATCGGCAGAGGAGGCTCGGAAGTGCATGGAACTGGGTATGGCGTTCGGCGGTCCCGCCGGGGCCCCCTGCGGGCAGTGAGTGAGCATCAACTTCTTCCATCTGGAAAACACTGCTCCTTCTTCCAGCTCCAGGAAAGTCTGGCTGCCCTAGCTTGGCTCTTGTGCCCATTTCTTGGCCAGGCAGGGCCAGGCTGGCACCTTCACCAACAGTTGGGCCAGAATACCTCCAAAGGGGAGGAGGAAGGCCCCTAAGTAAAGCCAGCAGGGTGCTACCACAAGAAGCGGGCAGTGGGTACCAGCAGTCCCAACCCAACCACGCCCACAGCACGTACCTCCCCGGGCTGCTGGGAGGACCGGACGAAACAACACAGAATATACAGCGAAAACACAGAAGTCAGGGGTTGCAATGAGTAGCAGGGACTGGGGACATAATCATTCTCCGGGCTGCTTATCCTTGGAGGACACCAACTGGCCTGCCCTGTGCCTCACAACCAGTAGCTGACTTTGCTCACTATTTGCACTGAGCTAATCGGCACAAAGCATAATGACTAAGGAGAGAACGGGCAGATTTACTGGAACAAATAAAGAAGGGTGGGGATGCGGAGGAGGAAGTAAGAATTCTAAGAGGAGGCAGTGAGAGGACGTGGACATAACCATCGGCTTGTAGGAGGGGAGAACAAAACCTCCCAAATGTGACCTGAATTTTTTTTTTGGGGGGACAGGGTCTTGCTATGTAAGTCAGACTGGCACTGAACTCGCTATGTAGCCCAGGCTGGCCTTAAACTCACAGCGATCCTCCTGCCTCAGCCTCCGCAGTGCTGGGATTTTAGGTGCATGCCACCACTGCTGGCTAAAGAGGCTGAATTTAAACCCAGGTGCTATTAATTCTAGCTGTGCATCCCACACAAATCCCTCTCCTTACCTTTAAATTGATGATAATAATGCTTCACAGGATTTCTGCGAAGCGTGGGGAACACCCAAATACTACTTCTCACTTACGACATTTTGGGTAAAAGTGATGAGTTATGATTTCATCACTCTATCCAAAAATCATAGTTATTATTATAAAGCCCTTTAGGTGTGACTACAAGGAGAATGTGCACCAAGCGAGGTGTTTACTACACAGGCTGGGCCTCTCGGGTCTGGAGGCGCTCACCACCTGAGCACAGTACCTGCTGCCACCAACCGTCAGGCTGTCACACGGGCAAGGGCGTTTCACGCGTACAGCACAGGGGCGTGACTTGGTAAAACCTCTCAGATAATGATTTGGTAAAATGCAGTCAGTCCCTGAATGGTCTTGCTAGGGCTTAGATCTGGAAGACTTTCCCAAAGACCCACGTATTGAAAGCTTGCTTATCTGTTTGAGCTCTTGGGAGGTGGTGGAAACATGGCAGGGGGCTTGTGGGAGGCCCTGAGGTCACTGGGATGAGCCCTCAGAGGGACCTGTGGGACCCCAGTCTCTTCCTTTCTCTTTCACTTCCTGGCCATGAGGTGAACAGCCTGCTATGCTACATGCACCCATCACAAATGTGCCAAAGCAGCAGGGCAGCCCACCACTTACAACCCCTCTTAAAATCCTCAGAATACACCTTCTCTCTTATTAAGTTGCTTCAGGTATTTTGTTACAGTGATGGATGACTAACAAAGGTCTCATTCATGAACCACTTTTTGTTACTTGAAGGAATTTATCTTGTAGCCAGGCGTGACGGCACACACCCAGCACTCTGAGGCAGGAGGATCCCAAGTTGAAGCCAACCCTGGGACTCTGTCTCAAAACACAAATTTAAAAAGGGCTGGGGATGTAGTTCAATGAGAAGGCCTTTGGTTCAATCCCTATACTGGGGAAAAAAAAGAGGGAGAGAAAGAAAGAGAAAAAGGAAATAGGGCTGGCTTCTCTAGGCAGACAGCACTGCCCAGCCCTGTGGGCTGCCTTCTCTTCTACTGTCTTCTGAGGCCAGCTCCTCTGCGTCCTCTGCCGCATAAGTGACCACAATTGGAGGCTTGTACCTAGACTACCTACCTACTAGCACAGCGGCCTTCAACCGGGGCAGGATAAATTCTGGGGCAACCACACTGCAGAACCCTGAGAGGTCGATCTCAGTGTGTTTCCACAAGTTTACACTTAAAAAGCAACTGGTAGATTCAAATGTATAAAAGAATTTCATTGAAACATAGGAAACACTGGGAGCATAATATACAAAGCTGTTGCCAGTGATTATCTCAGAGGGCAGAGAACTTTACAGAACTCTTTTCTTCTTTTTTTCTTTTTGTAGAATTGGGGATTAAACCAGGGCTCTGCACTGAGCCACATCTCTAGCCCCCGCTTCCTTTTTTAGAGACAGGGCCTCACTAAGTTGCTCAGGCTGGTTTCACATTTGCTACTTCCCACCGCGGCCTACCAAATACCTGGGATTTCAGGTGTGTGCCGCTGTGCAGCTTTGACAGCGCTAGTTTTCAGAAAAGCAGATGACTGCATCGTGCTCTGAAAGATCTCAACTTAAAATCCAACTCAACCCCAGAAGCGCATCCCTGGTGAAGAGCACCAGGACAGTCACTGAATTTATCAAGTAAAGTGGCAGTCACTGAATTCAACATCAGACACATCGTACAACGCACTGCCCCTCTGACTGTCACATTACAGGTTCTCTAGAAAGAGAGATTGTGTCGCTCGGTAGAGCACACTGTTTCAAATCTGTGTAACAGGAAGCCCAGCTTTCTAAGCCAAAGACAGCATTCCTCCTTCACACAGCAAAAACACAGGAGAGAAGGGCGTCATAGTGCACGCCTGGCGTGGAGGTAACAGGACCACCACAAATTCAAGGCCAGCCCGGACTATTTCACAAGACCCTGTCTCAAAAACGAACAAACCTACAAACAAACCATACACACACCCCAAAAACTGGAAAACGGGGAGCTGGCCCTTTCACGCAACGATGGAGAGCCAAGACTATCTGCTCCGCCCAGGTGCTCTCCTCTACCTGGGAAGTACAGACGCGTGGGGCGGGCCACATTAACAAGGACACCCCGACTCGTACAGGCTGCCTGACCTTGAGGTCTTCTATCAGCGGGGACGGGGTCCACTTGTCCACCGAGGCCTGGTGTCTCTGCAGCTCTGGCTCCAGGGGGTACACGTGCTGCCCCATAAACCGCTGCAGCCGGTCGTACAGCTCTCTGACCTGTGGGGAGAGGCCCTCTACCGAGAAGACCAGCGCTCCCTTCGAGGTGTGAGCTGGGGGAGCTCCCGAGACAGAGCTGTAGCTTCTTGTGCCTGTGGGGCTCAGCAGCGACTGTGGACCAGCCCGAGTGTGGCAGGACCTTGTCAGTGGTTTGGCAGCTGGCATCTCTTTGAAAATGCGGAATCCTTCTTTAGTCGCAAAGTCCCATGCCAGGTTAGATATGAATTCGGCCAGCTTTCCGCTTTGCTCAGCGCTTGCTGAGCTTGCCTGCCCTGAACGGAAGGAAAGAAAACTAGCGATCACTCTTAACCAGCCCTTCCTAGCAAGGGTGACTTGTGGCACGATGGTCATTCCCTTAGCAGCCACTATAGGGCCTGAGCACTTGCTATGGACCGGATGCAGTGCTGAGAATACTTAGAAGTCACTGAATTCCTAAAGCAATACAACTGTTCGAATCCACACCTTGCAGACAGGAAACTCAGTCTCAGAGAAGGAGGTCGCTTGCTCAAGCTGGAAGTCAAACCCAGGTGTGCCTGGCCCCTGTGCCTCACCTCTGCTTCTCCTACAGTCAGTGGCAGCCTGTCACTTCTGCTGCACCAGGGGCTGTAAGAAATCCTGCATTATCCCAGATCAGCCCACCAGGAATTTGACAGCAATGTTAAGAATGAGTGGATGAACGGCCAGTTTCTTGTCTGGATCAGTAATCAACACCAGCATTACACAGCTCACTCACATTGCATTCTCATGGTCCTCTTTTTCATATATCACTAATTTTTGCCCGCAGGGGGATTATTGAATAAAGTGTACTGAGCTACATCCTCAGCCTTTTTTGAGACAAGATCGTACTAAGTTGCTAAATTGCCCAGGCTGGGCTTGAATTCTTGACCTTCCTGCCTCAGCCTCCTAAATGGGATTATAGGGTGTGGTACCTGGCTAAGATGGCTAATTCTTTATAAGCACAAGCTATTCCACTATCCCCCAGTCCTTGGAATGGAACAAAGACAAAACACAGCAGCCCTCCAGGAAATGTTTCTGGTTAGCTTTTACTGCAAAGCTGTAACCAATATGGGGAATGGTGGCTTCCCAAAGGAGGGCAAACTATGGCTTCTATGCCTTCCTGCTTGTGACAGCCCTGCTTCTCTGATCAGGGAGGTTGGGAATCCCCTAGTCATTGTTCTGCTCATGACCCTGGGCCACCTGGCAGTGCGGGCACTCAGGAGAGCCTCAGGGACTTGTGAACGAATGAACCAATGGCCAATAGCCCCACAGCACCTGCATCTCTCAGAAGAACGTGGCAACTGGCCGCCAGCCAGCATGGGGTGTCCTCGGCTGGGCAGCTAAGGACACGCCACAGCACTCACAAACAAACCCACTGATGCGCTGCTTTCTGCCTGTCTTTTGTTTTTCATTTTTCATTTTGGGAAGTTGCAAAGACATACAAGAGTAGAGAGGAGGTGGATGAGCCTGCACGTATCTATCACCCACCTTCAACCATGATCAATGTCAGCAGTCTTGTTTCAGTCCCTGTCATCCTACCCTCACCACCCTGGACTTTTCTGCAGTAAAACCCAAATGTTATTAGGCCATGTGTCAAAGTTTCATTTATATCAAAAGACAAAGACTTTAAAAATGGGGGTGGAGTGGGGATACAGCTCAGTGGCACAAGCGCCTGCCTGGCAAACACAAGGTCCTGAGTTCAATTCTCAGTACCCAAAAAAAACCCACACAGTAACATGATCGTACTTAAAAAAAAAAAAAAAAAAAAAGCTAACTAGCCAGGCGTGGTACATAGGTACTCAGATATATAAGAGGCTGAGATAGGAGAACTGAAAATTCAAGGCCAGCCTGGGAAACTTAGCAAGACCTTGTCTCAAAACAAAACACCATCAACAAACAATAAAAAAGGAGCTGGGGATACAGGTGGTTTGAAGCTGAGTGGTAGAGCACCACTGTCCTCAATTGCAAGTAGTGTACACACACACACACACACACACACACACACACAGAGTTAATGATATTTCCTTAATACCATGAACAATCCGATCAGAATTCAAGTTTCACTGTGGCATAAGATGTGGGTGTGTCTGTGTGTATATAGTTTTGATGACTGAACCCAAGGCATTCACACTGAGCTACATTCCCAGGTCCTTTTTAAAAAATTGTGGGGTGAGAAGTCTCACTAAGTCGTTAAATTGCTCAAGCTGGGTTTCAACTTGGGTATCCTTCTGTCTCAGCCTCCCAGATGCTGGAATTAGAGGCATGCGTCACATGACCAACTAAGAAAAATTTTTAAAAAGACAAGCTGTTCAAGCAAGAATCTAAACAAATTTATGTCTTTTAGGCTTTTCCTCTGCTGTTTCCTTTCTCGTTCTCCCCCTCCACTGTGACATGTATTTGTTGAAGAAACCGAAGTATTTGCCCTGTGAAGTTTCCCACAGTTGCTTTTGCTAATGCCTGTACCCTGCGGTCCTGCTGACTGTGTCCTCTGAATCCTATACATCCTGTGAATCTGTAGTTGACGCTGGAGGAGTGGGCAGTCGGGTTTGACTCTGGGGGAAGCTAGGAGTATGTCATGTCTGGCCATCTCTGTCTCTGTCTTTCTGGTGACGTTAGCGCCCACTCAGGCTTCCTGTCCAACTGTTAATATATGCCAGGCTGTGAACTGGCCATGGGCGAGTTCTAGCATTCCGTCCAGGACATTCCCTAGACTGAAATGCTCCCCCATTAATTACTGGGTCAGCCTGAGGTGGAGGAAAAGCAGGATAAATGCTTCAGTTTTCTCCCATTTCCCAACTGTCAGAATGAGTGGTTTCCATGGCATCCTCCGAAGTCACCAACGGGACTTCATCTCTGTTCTGTTATCTGGTTATCTACGGATCTGAACGTACTGGAGGCGTCCACATCCATTTCCATAGGCGTCGTTACTGATGTTCAGACAGCAAGTGGGATCCCACTCAGGCTGGCTCCTGAATCTTTGCATTTGACCCTTGTGGTCTTTGACAACTTCTTTGCCTGTTGTGGGTTTGTCTCATGGATACCTGGACAGTGAGACCTGAAAACAGCCACTTCCAAGGAGTCCTGGTCCCCTGTAGGAACGATATCTAGAAATCCCAACAGGGGTGCAAGGAGCACTTAAAGACTCTTACTAGGGATATAGCTCAGTGGCGTAAGTGCTTGCCTGGTAAGCCTGAGGTCATGAGTTCAATTCCCGGTACCAATAAATAAATAAATAAATAAAGACTCTTTTAGATTGGGCCGTAGCTCAGTGGGAGCCTTTGCCTCCCATGCACGAAGCCCTGGGTTCTATCCCCAGCCCAGCACAAAAAGAAAAAAGGCTTTCTTTCTACCTGCCTTTCCTCCTATATAGAGGAGGCAAACTTTACCTACCTTTCAATCTGCTTCAATAACTTGATGTATTATTTAACTTGCTACCCTACAAAACTTAGAATTAAAACATTCTCCCATCCCATGTAAACACTCTGTATAGACACACACTCAACCAACAGTCAGCTGCAGTGGCAAAACCTTTTCTTCTCAAACATTCCAACTTACAGGGTATAATCTAGAACTCTCAGCTAGCTACAGTATTCTCCCACATATGCACAAGCAGCGTCAAAGAAACACAATCACACCCCTCCCCAAGCAGCTTTCTTACTAGGTAACTTGACAATATCTGCAAAAATCCTAAATGTTTGTACTTTTAAACAAGCAATTCCAGTTCTGGGGATTTATCCTGGAGATATGTTCACACGTGTATGAGAGAAGATGTTCACCAGTAACTATGTGTGGCCGCAAAACTCCTACAAGCAATAGAAATGCACACTGAGGGAAACTGGTTAAACACACGAGTCCATCCACACAATGGAAGCGCCAGAGATGGAGAGTGACGCAGATCCATGCGTGTGCACGTGGACAGTCCCTGTAAACACTGCGCAATGAACAAAGAAATCAGGGAATTTCTTAAGTATAGCTATTAAATATATATTATGTACATATACACATACAGATATTTTATAGTAATTCCTAAGCATAAAGAATTTAAAAACAAGGTACTAGAAAATACATATACGATGATCACATAAGCAAAAGCATAGAAGAAAAAAGGATGGAGTGAAAGACAGCCTCAGAGAAATTTCAGGGAAAACACCCTTTCTCACACACATGTGACGCTGTCTGCAGGACAAATTTCCAGATTTAGAATTTCCCAGGTTGTTTTTGAAGGATGATACTAAGAAGAAAGGAAAATAATTTTATATTGTTTCACGTGACTTAATTTTATCATGTGCATGTATGTTTTTACTAAAAAATTGCATTATTTTAATTATTAAAGAACAAAGAATATTTTAAAGAGTATTATTATGACTTGCGTCTAGATGTCCCCCCAAGCCTCATGAAGTCATGGGTGGGGGCTTCTTCAGAGGTGGCTGGGTCTACAGTGTGTGATGGATTCACGGTGCAACGCTGGGTTAAGGGTGCTAGGACTAAGGGTGGGTGATCACTGATCAGGCCACTGGTTGGTTTGGCACCACCCTAATCTCAATAGCCTGGATATAAGGGACACAGAGAGGTTTGTCTCTCCCCTTATTTGTTCTGCTGCCTTCTGCCCACCACAAACTGTTTCTCTCCTGCGATGCCCCTCTGCTGTGCCGCCCCGCCCTGGAGCCAGCCGATTATGGACAGAAACCTCTACAAACTGTGAGCTACATAAGGCTTTCCTCCTTTAACTCTGGGTGTTGGGTATTTTGTCTCAGCAAGAGAAACAACCAACACAAATATTTTAAAGAATATATATATATATATTTTTTTCTTTTAATGACAAATGATTACATTAATGGAATCTTACAGAATTCTGGCCTAACAGCTCCCACCAAAGCCCCTGTGGCTGTAGGAGCACTCTATGGCTCACCCATCAGCTTGGCCATGCTATCACCGATCTAGATCAGCCTGGCCCCCCCATTCATTACCTTTGAGTGATCGCTTGTAGACTCCTTGGAGGATTGCAGCCATGCGGAAAAAGGAGAAAGCCATATAAAAGTTCCAGTTCTCAACAGGAGGGATGTCCATGTGAAGGCAGTACATCCTAAAGCACTCCTCAGCGGTAGGGATGCCCAGCTGGGTCAAATCGCGATCACTGACACCTGTGGTGAGAGACAACCCACTGGGAGTGTAGCTCGCGTGTATGAAGTCTTGGCTTCTGTCTCCAGCACAAAATACACAGCGTGTTGGAAGAACAGTCTCACTAAACTAGAGGTAAAGACAATTTCAACAAATGAAGATTCTCAGTGATTTGCTTCACTTGTGCTGTTTCGATGATGTACAAGCACCCATACACCCCGTCCGTAGGACCTGACTCTTATACCAGCACGAGTACTACTACAAAGATGCTCAGCACCTCTTCTGGTGGGGTCTGCGCACAGCAATAAAAAGTAGACTGAGTATCCAAAGAGGAAGTAAATCAGATGTCTTAACTTTATATAATAAAATCCAATGCTATCACCAAAAATTAAGCTGTAGCAGAAACGCTTAGCAGCATAACACACTTTCAAAGTATACAATTAAGCAGAAAAAAAGCAGGTCATAAAATCATGTAATCACATTTTTTTATTTAAAAAATGTACATATGCACACAGAAGAAAAGGTAACAATGACAGATACTGAAATGTCAGCAAGTGGTTATCTCTGGGACTACAGTACCAGTGATTTTAACTGGGTTTTGTTTTATCTTGCTATCTGTTGGCTCTAATATTTTCACAGCAAACTTGAATTTGTTGTGAAACCTTGTGTAGTTGAAAGTGTCAGGTATAAGTTAGCTGTGCGACCGCACAAGGGGAGCTCATACGGGTGCACTTGTCACTTAACACACGTCCTACACTCACTTCGCCCTGACTGTGACAGGAACACAGTCCAGTGACATCTTCTCGTAGACCACCAGGACAGCTCCGGGGCACTCACAGCCGACTTAAAGCCAAGCTCATTCCCATGTGCTCGGTGAGCGCAGCCGGCCCATCCCTGTCTGCCCCTGGCAGTGGCTCCTACCTTTCAGCAAGGGGAAACTGGATGGCAAGTAGTGAGCCAGGCAGCTGTAGGCCACGTCGGCAAGGGGGTCGCCTAAGGTAGAAAGTTCCCAGTCAAGGACAGCAAGCACCTCGGCCTTTTCCGGATGGAAGAGCAGGTTGTCAAGCCTGAAAAGCCACAGAAGGAATGGAGACGGCTCTAAGAACACTGACCCCGCGTGTGTTCTTCCCGGGCGGGGTCCGTTTGCCCCTCCTGGCTGAGTCCCCACTCCCTGGGCTCTCTGTGCAAGGGCCTGAGATGCGTGGGCCGTGCCCATTGTGTGAGGGCCCCTTGGTCCTCTGATTTCCAGCTGGGCACAGCCCATCAGAGGCACCGGCAGGAGATGGGAGCGGGCCTGGCTACTTGCTCCCCCAGCTGCCTCTGCAAAGCGCTGAGGGGTGGCTGAGTCCTTCTACTGAGGGACACAGGCGTGGTCAGGCAGTCCTCCCACTGCATCTACCCTCTCTAGGGTCTGGGAATGACGCCTTTCCACCTTTAAAGGTTCTACACAGTCTGCACGTTCTTTGACACTCTTGCCATGAAAGGCAGAGTCTGTCTTCACTCCTCAATCGCTTGGCTTCTAACAAATATAAAGCAGGAGGAAGTGATGCTGTGGGAATCCATGCACGAGTCCAGGTCAGAAAAGGTGACCCAGCTCCCACCTGGCCCTCCCTCTGGGAACATACACCTCTGGAGCTCTGAGCCACCAAGGAAGAAGTCCAGCTACCCAGAAGCCACCATGCTAGGGAGAGCCATGGGAAGCCACAAAGCGAGGGTGTAGCCTGAGAAGCCAGCTGTTTGTGCCTTCCCTGCCCCAGCGCCAGCACACAAGCGAGCCAGCAGAGGATTCTAGCACCGCATGAGAGCTGCCCTAGGAAATAAGCTGTCACGTCCCCACACTGCGGACGTCCAGCAAAGCAACCCGGCACTGTCGCCAGCCACTCAGCTTTCGAGCAGCTGAGCAGCTAGAGTATTAACAGCTGTAGAAACAGCTGTAGAAACAGCTGGAGAAGGCTTGTTCCTTCAGACCTGGGGTGGTAAGCACTCCCCGCTGTTGCTAATCCCGGGGCTCCTGGCTGTTCAGTGCTTCCTCTAAATCATACTGCAGCCCTGTGTTATACTCTCCTCCAATGGCCTCTTTGAGTTTTTCTGCCAGGGTTCTAATGTATGCTTTATTTAAAACAAAAGGTAATTATCAAACATGCAGAAAAAAACAGAAAAAGATAAACAGAAACCCATGTGCCCATCTTCCTAATTCAACAGATATTGTATCTCCTTCTTTGTTATACTTCCTCCAAATTTCTAAAACACAAAACTATGGAAAGCAAGTGTGGTGGCACACACCTGTAATCTCAGCACTGGAGAGGCTGAAGCAGGAGGATTTCAAGTTCCAGGTCAGTGTGGGCTACATAGTGAGTTCAAAGCCAGCCTGAACTACTGTCTCAACCAAAGAAGCCGAGTGTGGTGGTACATGCCTGTAATACTGGCACTCAGGAGGGAGGATGAGGCAGGAGGACTGTTGCAAGTTCAAGACCAGCCCGGGTACAAACTGAACTCAAGGCCAGCCTGAACTGCACAGTGAGACCCTGTTTCAAGAAGACCCCCCCCCCAAAAAAAAGAAAAAAAAAAGAAAAGAAAGACTTTGCAGATGTCGCAAATAGCCTCCATCTATTTCCTACTCACTTTCCTTGGAGGTAAGTATTACCCTAAAGCTGGTATACATTAATCAGATTGTTATATCTCTCTTAGCTTTGCACACGCCTGTAAGGCATCCAAGCATAGGACGCTTCACTTCTTTTTAAATTTGCATAAACGGCAGGACACTGTGCATCTCGTACCACTATCTACTCAGCATTACCTTTCTGAGATTCATGATGACGTATTACAGCACACTGGTTTATCTTACCTGCTAATCAGAATTCCATCCTACAACCTAACCACAATCTGTCGTATGTTACAAGCAAAAGCACAACTTGCTTTTCTTGTTGTCGTTGCAGTACTAGGGATTGAACCCAGAACCTTCTCACTATTTTGTATTTTGAGACAGGATCTGACTAAGTTGCCCAGGCTGGGCTCAAACTCAGGTTTCTCCTGCCTCAGCCTCCGAGGGTGCTGGGATTACAGTCACGCATCTCCATGCCTGTCTACAGTTCACTCTTTGCCAAGTCTCCTGGTGCGCAGGTGCACATGCGCCACTAGAAAGGAATTACGGGATGTAGCATCTTCCTGTCTTCCATGTTCCTGGCTATCATCTTCGAAGGAGTTCTACCAATTTATGCTCCTACTGCTGAGTCCCTCTATATGTAATAAATATGTTCTTCCATCTCCCAACAGATGGGAAGTGTCTCCGACTCCAAGCGCGGGTCAGTAAGTGGCAGTACGTCCCTAAAATCTGCAATATCTTTCCTGAAAGCATCACCAGAAATGATCATTCTACTTCCGGACAGCTATGGGAGGAAGTTCCCTGGCCGCCACTAGATGTCTCCTGCCTGTTACTGTACTCTGCATACTGGAGAGGCAAAGACAGGCAAAGCCCAGGTCCACGGTGCAGTTGCTGTGAGCAGGCATGCAAAGGCCACCCGCACTCTTCCCCACGAAAGAGGCTGGGTTTCATTACTGGCAAGAGTGCTGCAGGGCAAGGTTCCCTGGTGCCCGGGCGGAGGGAGAAGAAGGAAGAGGGCGCCAAGTGCAGCCCAGCTGCACACCAAGTTCAAAGCACTGTGGGGGAAATGGCTCGACCCACTTAGTCCGACTGGTGCACGAACAGATGGAACCTATTCCTGTGGGCGATCACATGGTGCAGACAAGGCCCAACCTCTCACTCTCAGATTCAGGGGGACCAACGTCAGCTAGAGAAAGAGCCAGGAGTGACCGACACAGTCACGCAGGCACAGAGAGGCTAATCTTATTTGGAAAGCGAAGAAATGTCTTTATAATTAGCTTTACTGTCTAGCTTTGTGCAATAAAGGCCCAGCTGGGCTGGGAGTGTAGCTCAGTGGCAGATCGTGTGCTTAGCAAGTGTGAGGCACATAACACACATACATAAAAATAAAATACAAGGCATAGCTCCCCAGGCTGCGCAAAAAAACTACTAAATAAATGGTCAGAGCCTAAATAAGCAGTGTTTGTATACAAAGCAGGCCTCCTGGTGCTGCTGGAAAATAGACGACACCATAAAAGCTGCCCAGTGCACCCGGGGCAGCGTTCTCAGCAGGGTCAGTAAGATAAAGACCCAGGCACACCCAGCTTCCAGCCCTAGCCGGCTGCAGACCCCGCAGGAACCCTGGAAACCGTCTCCACGGCCTGTCCTTCCTTCCACCTGTGTCCAAGGCAAATGTCTATCGGCGACGTATAGGATTTAAGAGGCTCCCTCCTGCGCCTGACCTTCAAACAGTGGCTGTCCACCCAGAGTAGTGCTGCCCTTCCGGGACACAGGGGACAATGTCTGCAGGCAGGTTTGGTGGCCACAAAGCTAAGGATGATGCTTGGTGTCCTATAAGGCAGAGTCGCTCCCATGACCAAGGAGGAGCTGAGTGAGGCAACAGTTCCATCTGTAAACTGGACTAAGACCAGCTGCTTAGTTTCCCCTCTGAGTGACCCGCCATCAGTTTGCGTATTTGCTATTCAGCCCGCAGGTGGCCACGTCTACCTGAAGTCCCCGTGCACCACTGCGGTCCTCTGCTGCCTGGGAAGATGGAGAGGCAGCCACTGGATGAGCCGTTCCATTGCCGGGATGGTGCTGGTTTCTGCGGCTCGGTACTGCTTTGTCCAGGTTTGCACCTGGCGAGGAAGATAGTCCCCTGCAGGAGAGAGGAGCAGAACATGGGGACCGTTTCCACCACCGCCAAGGTTTCAAAAATTCCTGGAGCAGCGAGACCCTTGGAATGTGCTGCGTCTCTGAGCACACTCGTGGGGCTGCGAATGTCCCACACGGGGCTCCTGCTGCCTCCCGCCACCTTGCCTTGGCCTGTTCAGCGTGGCCTGGACGCTGTTCTCTGCCACGCTTCGTCCAAGCCCGACCCCCAGCCCTCTTGGAGAGCTTGTGAGCTTCCAGCCTTGAATACGTCCCTTTTTTGGCAAGACAAGAGCGGCTGGTGAAAGTGTACGGGCTCCGGAGCTGGCCTGCCAGGGTGTGAAGCCCAGCTCTGCCATTTCCTAGCTCTGCGATCTTAGGCACATCACTTGCCTTTTTTGTGCCTCACTTTCCTCATCTTGAGACGGTCCTTCTGGAGTTGTTGGGAGGATAAACTACGCAGAGCCCTCCTGTGCGGTGCTCTGTATGTGGTCCCGGCTATTTGGGAGATTAGGGTGGGTCACCTGAGCCCAGGAGTTTGAGGCCAGCCTGGACAACATAGTGAAACTCAGTCTCATTTGAAAGTTAAAAGAAAAAAAAAACAGGGAAAAGAAAAAACTTGACAATACAAATGTTGGCAAGGAAGAACAACAAGTGGAACTCTCTCATATATTAAAAAAAGCCAAAAAAAAAAAGCTAGCAGTAGTGGCAAGTGTCTGCAATTGCAGCTATTTGGGACGGCAAAACAGGAGGATTCCAAGTTTAAGGCAACCTGGGCAACTTAGTAAGAACCTGTCTCAAAATGAAAAATAAAAAGGACCGGAAATGTAGCTTGTAGTAGACAACCGCTAGATTCGATCCCTAGTACTAAGGAAAAAAAGTACTTAGATCCTCAAGGTGGGAGCTAAGTCCATCTTCCACTGTGCACGCATGCGGTTGTTAACGCCGTGCACCACGCAGACGCGAACAGCAGAGCTGCTTGTGAGGGAACGGCCAGCCTGGAGGACCAGGCGCTCCTGCCCACCTTGCTTCCCATAGCCATCCAGGCCTGCAGCCTGGAAGTCCACGCTGTGGATCTGGCACAGTACTCGGTTCATGGCAGCGTACACGGCTCGCCTCTGGCTGGGCTCCAAGCCTGGCAGAGAGGGGTCTTTGTAGATGCGGCCTGGGCAGTACTCCATCACATAGAAGGGCGTGCCGATGACACTGCAGGGGACACAGACGGGGTCTGAGGGCCCTACACACAGTGTGGCAGCTGGCAGTGCTGCTCTGGCTGCTCCTGTGCACACAGGCTGGGAGCTGGGGAAGGGCTCGGACCCAGGGTTCTGGTATGTAAGTACTGCGTGCTGACTGCCACTGAAGTTTCAAAGCCAGGGTTCTGGGCATAGTGGATATTTCCTTTTTCCTGTGCATGTAAGGAAAGTGCACTCCCAATACACACACACACACACACACACACACACACACACACACACACAGGGCCTGCTCTTCCTGCTCTTTGATCCATTTGCAGAAACCATCAAATGGGTTTAAGTGCAGCAATGTATACAGTGGCACAGTTGAAAAAGGCAGCTTTGGAGCCATACAGAACCATGCTTAAGTCCCACCTCTGCCCTTTACTAGCAGCGTGACCCTGAGACACTTACTGAACCTCTCTGAGCTTGGCTACTGTTGTTTTGATCTGTAAAGCAGACCCACTATCAAAGTGTAGCTGTAAGGACTAAGGAAATAATATACAGAGAGCTTGTCGCTGGGTCTGGTTGTGGTGAGGGGCCAACAGGTATCTCTTCTTGGTACTGACATTATTTTTATCATTATTTCATGGTATGAATGACACACATATTATGATAGGTTTGTTTTGTTTTGTTTTGTTTTTGTTGTTCTTTTGTTAGTTTTTTGAGACAAGGTCTCACTAAGTAGTCCAGGCTGGCCTTCAACTTGCAGTGATCCTCCTGCCTCAGCCTCCCAAGTGCTGGGACTGCAGGCCTGCGCTACCACGCCCAGCTACCACATGATAATTTTGAGGTGACCTATCAACATGCCATTAACTCATTAGTCATTACCAGAAATTACTATACTACTTTCAAAAGTAGTTCTGAAAATTCTAGAATTATAAATGTTTGATTGACTGTAAAAACTTACACCAACTACTGGGGAGGCTGTGTATTGCAAGTTCAAGCCCAGCCTGGGCAACTCAGTGAGACCCTGTTTCAGATTAAAAAACAAAAAGAGCTCAAGATGTAGTTCAGTGGTACAGTAATCCTGGGTTCCATCCCCAGTACCCAAAACAAAAGATGGTTATAAAAGATAATCCTCAAATAATTAGGGAAATCTGAATATGGGCTAGACATTAAATAGTATTATTAAAGTATGGTCTCCATATCCATGTGTTCTGCATCCAAGAATTCAACTAAACCCTGATCAAAAACATCTGGAAAAAAATACTACATCAGTACTGAGCACGTACAGACTTTTTCTCGTCATTATCCCCTAAGCAATAGAGACAACGACTGTTACATAGCACGTACACTGTATTAGATGCTATATGTCATCTAGAGATGATTTACAGTATGTAGGACCATATGTGTAGCACATAGGCAAATACTCCGCTATTTCATGTAAGGGACTCCAGTATCCTCAAGTTTTGGTACCTTCAGGGCATCTTGGAACCGAGTGTTCATGAAGCTTGGTAATTATCTTAGGTGTAATAATGGTGCTCTGGTGGAAAATAAAATGTCCTCACTTCTACAAGATGCAAACTATCTGCAACTTACTTCAGAAGGTTTAGCCACAAAATATACACTATACATACACATACACCTCCACACACATTTACAGAACGCAAACGTGGTGCCCATCAACAATGTCTTAACCTGCATAACTAGATGCTTGTGATGCTATTTTTCTTCTTTCATTTTTCTGTATGTTTCAAAATATTCGTAATTAGTTGAGATAAACTCAGAAAGTATGCTTCAAAGTGGTTTAAAACATTATAGAAAGACCACAATGAAAAATTAATGAAAACAAGCAGATGAGACTAAATGGACATATATTTTTGGAATGCTAAAAAAAAAAGCTGCTATCTACCAATCCACGCAAAAGCAGGCAATGTCTTTATCTTTCAGGATAAACTAAAGACCCAAGAACTTCTAAGAAAGGTTACTATACAGTCTCTTCTCTCTCCAACTCAAATTCTATTTGTCTTCACTAACAAACTCACATCTGAGTTAGTAAACTCGCACCTGTAGCTTTAGCACATAACCACAAAAATACATCTGGACTTTACCTTGAATCTTCACAAAGGTCAAGAACCCTAGGGACAGGTACTCCAGCACTTGCAAGGGCTTTCATTACCCTGTAGAACAAATAAATAGAAGAATAACTGTTGGCTGAATTGATGAGATTTTCCTGAAATTACTTTTCTGATTTAAAAAATAGTACATTGGGAGCTGGGTGAGGTGGTGCAAGCCTGCAATCCCGTCTATGTGGGAGGCTAAAGCAGGAGGATTATAAGTTCAAGATCAGCAAGACCCTGTCTCAAAGGGGAGGGGGGCTGGGGATGCAGCTTAGTGGTGGAGAAATTGCCTGGTATGTGTGAGACCAGGGTTCAATCCCCAGTACCAGGAAAAACAAACAAACAGTACTAGGGGTGTAGCTCAGTGGAACAGTGTCTTCAGTTCAACCCCCAGTACGGCAAAACCAAAACCAAAAATCCCAGCAACAGAGCTTCAGCATATATGAGGAGAAAAATGGACAAATCCGTAATAACAGTTCAGATTTTAACATCCCTTTCCCAGTACTGACAGAACTAAACAAAGTTAAAAACAAAGAACTGAGTAACACTATCAACAAACTCAACCTGACATATTTCTGGAACATTTAGTCAGCAATTGCAGAATACATATTATTTTAAAGTGTGCACAATATGTTCACTAAGATAAATCATATGCTGGTCTGCAAAATAAGTTTAATCAATAAATAGTGAAATGTTAGTATTTCACATTCTTCAATAAAATAAAACTAGGAATCAATACATGATAATCTAGAAAGTAATATTGAGATATTAATAAATATATTTCTATTGCTCACAGAAGAAACGGGAAATTTAAAAATATTTCAAACCAGAATAATAATACTAAATATAAAACGGTAAAATTTGTGAGGTGCAATTTAATAAATGCCTAGAAACTTAAAATTTTAAACGTGTGTAGTATAAAAAACAGATTTTAAAACAATGATCTAAGATTTATTGCTGAAGAAAAATAGCCACGCTGGGGATACAGCCGCACAAGCGCCTGCCTGGCAAGGGCAAGGTCCTGAGTTCAATTCCCAGTACCAAAAAGAAAACCCAAAAAAAAAACAAAGCAAAATAGGCATGGTGTGGGAACACTTGTAATCCCAGCACTCAAGAGGCTGAGGCAGGAGGATTGTTGCAATGTCAAGACCAGCCTGGGCTATAAAGTGAGCTCAAGGCCAGCCTGAACTACACAGTGAGACCCTGTCTCAGAAAAGAACCACCCCCCCAAAAAATAAATAAAGTAACTGAAAGGGAATAAAATAAAGTAGAAAAGAAACAACAGGCCTGGTGTGGTGGCACATATGTGTAATCCCAGCACTCAGATGGTTGAGGCGGGAGGATCATTTCAAGTTCAAGACCAGCCTGAACTGCATAGTGAGACCCTGTCTAAAAAAGGCAAAAAATTTTAAAAACCAAATACTGATTCCTTGTTTTTTGTTTGTTTGTTTGTTTGTTTATTTAATACAGGGTCTCACAGTGTATTTCAGGCTGGCTTTGAACTCACTATGTAGCCCAGGCTGGCCTCAAACTCACAGCAATCCTCCTGCCTCAGCTTCCCAAGTGCTGGGATTACAGGCCTGCACAACCATGCCCAGCTGCTTCTTTTAAAAAAAATCAACACAATTTATAAATATCTACCTAGACTGAGATGAGAAAAAGAAAAAATTAAATTATCAACAAATATCAGGAATGGTGAAGAGGGGCTATCACTACAGATCTTACTTATAAAAGCATCATGAGGGAATATTATGAATAATAGTTTCTTAGCTTAGATGAAACGAACAAATTCCTTAGAAATTATAATTTATCAGAACAAAAAAGTGATAGGCACAGTGGCATGTGCCTGCAATCCCAGCACTCAGCAGACTGAGGTAGGAGGACTGCAGGTTGGAGGACAGCCTGGGCTACAGAGCAAGTACAGGGGCAGCCTGGACCTCAGTCAGTAAGATCCCCTCCCTTGCCAAAATAACCTAAAAAAAAAAAAAAAAAAAGCATATATAAATAGCCATATATTTATTAAATTGAATTCATAATGAAAAATCTTCTCCAAGAGAAAACTGCCCCAGATAGTTTTATTGATAAAGTCTATGAAATCTAAGGAAGACATTCTTAAAAAATTTTAACAGAAAAACAATACCCACAGCCTGATCACCAGCGGCTGCGCTCTTGCCCACCTGGTGACCTGTTCCCCTTCCGTGTCCTGACGGGCTGTCCTTCGGCAAACAGCCCTCTCCATTCTCAGTGCACACGGTTTGACTGAGGCTGACCCAACCCTGGTTCCAGAGATGGGTACAAGACTGAGGTATGTGCCGAGCGCAGTGGCACACACTTGTGATCTCAGCTCTCAGGAGGCTGAGGCAGGCAGAGCCTTGTGAGTTTGAGGTCAGCCTGGGCTACAAAGTGAGTTCAAGGCCAGCCTAAATTGCATAGTGAAACCCTGTCTTAAAAAGACAAAAAAAAAAAAAAAAAAGATGGAGGTATGACAATTCTGACCAAAGGATGTGCTGGTTGAGGAAAAGTTAGGGACAAATCTGTGACCCTAATGGGCCAATGAGTCATTCTTGGGAGATGTTCAGGAACCTTTACGGCAGTTACCAAGGAAACAGGAAGTAGAAAGGGAGAAAGGGCCCTGGTGCCATTACTGAGCCTCTGGATCCAGCCGTGCCTGGTGGAGGTAAATTATCCAAACATCTGACCATATTGCTTCTTCTTTTCTGTTTATGCTTACGTGAGGCTGGGTGGGTTCAGTACAGCTGAAGAATGTACCAACATGCTTCCCCAACATGACCGTGGCAAACATTTTAGTGTTCCTTCCTAGTATTTTTTCTCATGCATATCCTTAAAATAACTTCATACCATATGTACAGCTTGTATCGTCTTTACCTTCCTAAAATCATACACACCGTTCTGTTACTATAGGCATACTTCTTGGGCACAACAACAGCACAATCGTGGGGCTTGGGGTGTGGCTCATTGGTACAGCACTAGTCCAGCACGCATGAGGCCCTGGGTTCCATCCCCAGCACCACACACACAAGAAATCATTAACACATTCACACCAAGGCTGTAATTCGCACTTCTTGCTGCCGTGAAGCTCTGAACCACCAGTCGTACATGTATGACGGTCCTACTGGGTGGCGTGGGACAGTCCCACTGAGTCATCTGATGGGATAACTATGCAGGTACCGCCAGGGGGACATGTTAAGGTTTGGCTATGAAATCCCACTGCTGGGAATTCCATTTAAGCCAGGTTCCACCACTCCCTGTCTAATATGTGACCCTGGATGTGCTGCTTACCCTTTTTAAGCCTCATTTTACCCAGCTATAAAATGGAGAACATGACAGTGCCGAGTCAGACTGAGAGGCTGCGACAGGTTAGCACACTCGAAGCATTTACTCCAGTGCCTGGCGCATGCTGACAGCCAACAAATGCGAGCTAGCCCTATTATTGTTGCAACGGCTAAATGCACCAAGGTTTCCTTAGCCATCTCCTGACGACTGTACCGCGAGGGTATTTCTACTGTGACGAGCATATTAACACACAAAGATTTTTCTCTATCTATAAGTGGTTATTTAAATTAGATCCCCAAACTGAAATGATTAGGTTTAAAAGTATGAGTACTCTGAGATTTTCAATAAATTGCATCATACTGTTTTCTCAAATAGCTCAAATTCACATTTGGGATCCTATCAGCAGATATTGCATTGTTTCATCCTCAAATGCAGTTTATTTTTTAATATAATGGAAATTCTGTCCCTTCCCGAATATTTTCAGCATCATTCTAGGACTCCAAAATTCCTCGCTGGGAATTAGAGCAGTTAGAGACCTTCACGAACATGATGCATAGAAAAGACTTCAGCAGTTTTAGAGTTTGGGGGTCTCTGGTCTACAAATGCACACCTGCCAGGACAGGGGCACACGGATACAAATGCCCAGAAACAGCTCCAGCGCTCCTGCTCTGAGGAACCCCGGGCTTCATAAACTGTCAGTCAGTGGTCCCTGCGACACTTGGACAAGTCACAGCCTAGAAACGCAGCGGTCAGGAAAGACAGCAAACGAGGAGGAGGAGGGCTGAAGTCCCATTCTCCGCGTGACTGCAGCAGGCCTGTGCAGAGCTTGACAGGCTGCAGGTGGGAAGGCAGGTAGGAGGGAGGGGACCTTCCGGCCGCACAGTGTGCCCTGCTCTCACTCTTGGCTTGGCATTCTCTTTTTTCAATCTTGTATGTATAAGTTTTTCTCTTTGCAAAACAACCTGTTTTACTGAGGACGGGTTGTAATTCCTTTATTCTCTTAAAACATGGTATTGTGGAAAATCTCATCACATGTAAACAGATGTGTACAATGAACTCCCATGTACCCATCGTTCCGCTCCAATGGCTACCCCCCTAGTAACACACTGATTGTACGACTAAGGGTCTTAAACACTTCAATATTTACATAAAAGTTCTTACACATAGAGTCAGGTGCGATGGTGCACACCTGTAATCCCAGTACTTAGGAGGCTGAGGCAGGAGGATCACCACGAGTTTGAGGCCAGCCTGGGCTACATAGTGACATCAAGACCAGCCAGAGCTACAGATTTGAGACCCTGTTTCAAAAAAACCAAACCAAACCAAACAAAACAAAAAAGTCCTTAAGACGAAGGATGGGGATGTAGCTCAGTGGTAGAGCACTTAACCTGGATTAAATCCCCAGCAACACACAGAGTCCTTAAGAGTAAAAGGCAGCACTACAGAGTATCTCAATGCTGCCTTTATTCTTTGAAGGTTTTTTTTTAAAATGGTATCCTACTCTTTAGAAAAAAAGAAGACAAAATAGTAACACCAACAGTAACACATTTTTAAAAAAGAAAAAAGAAGATACTTGCCTTTTTTTTTTTCTTTTTTGATTTTTTGAAATAGGGTCTCACAACATAGTTCAGGCTGGCCTTGAACTCACTAGGTAACCCAGGCTGGCCTCAAATTCAGGGGGAATCCTGCCTCAGCCTCCTAAGTGCTGGGATTACAGGCATGTACCACCATGGCTGGCTGAGAAGAGTATTTTCTAAATAAAATTAGGTACTCAAGAAGCTGAGGCCCAGGAGTTCCAGACCTGGGCAATATAGTGAGGTCAGATCTATCAATAAATAAATAAATCAGTGGCTATATGTTCGTATTTGAAATAACGTGGAGATTCCTAGTTGCAATTTTAAATGACTCAGGGTACTTTACAGAAACTGATTTCCTGCGCTAGGCCTGCACCGAAGCACTGTGGAGGACCATGGGTAAGGTAAGCAGCCCCTAGCAACTGAGAAGTTACCTGAACTCCCTCTCTATGGCATGGGCGGATGGCAGGAGAGTCCCAGGGGGTTTCTTCCTCAGGACCAGCTGATGATTGGCCAGCCTGATGTAGTAAGTGGGATTTGACTGGCCGTGATCAAACTGAAGGAGTTCCAACGGGCCTGCAAATTTGAAAAAAAAACAAAAAAAAACAACACTCAAACTGGAGCTGGAGTCCAGCCTGTCTGGACAGACAGGCCTTCTTTCTAGTGAGTTATGCATCAGGGATACAGAATAGCCTCACGTCGGGTGCAGTGTATAAAAGCAGCTCTTCCCTGGGCACCAGGGCTTTGAGTCCCAGGCACATCCTGCCGCCTCAGACCCAGAATCACACGCGGCCTCAGTGGGGCAAAGGCCATGCGCTTACAGCATGATCCTGTTTCCTCACTCTGTGCAGTGCTGGCTTATATGCGTCTTGCCAGCGCCTGCCCTGAGAACAAAAGCACTTCAGTTCTGTTTAGCAACACATACTCAGTCATGGCAACCCATCTGGGCCGAGGAATGCGCTAAGCCCGAGAAGCAGAGTGCCCTTACGTGTCCTTCGCCCATACTCAGCCAAACCGCGCCCGAGGCTGATGTGACAGCTGGCGGGAGCTATGCAGGGGCCTTCATCGAGTGCCAAAGCTGCTTCCAGGCGGTCCCCCTCCCTCCCCTACAGCTTGAGCTCTCCCTTGCCAACTGCTAGCAGAGGTGAACCTAATGACCCTCAGCTTCACCGCAAAACCAAACAGTGGACAGTGACCGTTCACTTGGTCAAGAGGGCCGGCAGTAACGGGGGCTGCACAGCCAGACATGGTGGTGCACACCTGTTATACTCACAAGGCTGAGGCAGGAAAATCCCCAAGAGTTGGAGGCCAGCCTGAGCTACATAGTGAGATCAAAGCAAAAAAAGGGGGGTGGGTAGTAGAGGAAACCTGTTTCTCGGAGGGTAAAACGTGTTTCTTTCTTTTTTTTTTTTTAAGGCAGGGTCTCGGCTATGTAGCCCAGGCTGGCCTTGAACTCGAAGCAATGCTTCTGCCTCTGCCTTCTGAGTGCTGGGATTAGCACGCCACCACACCTGGCTAGAATTTGCTTTTTTTTTTAACCTGAGGGTGAAATGTAAAGAATGACAGAGGGACCCCTGAAGAAGCAAAGACAACTTGTTACTTTTTAAAAATCATGCAATTTAGCAAAGCGAGGTGGCACACACCTGTAATCTCAGCGCTCTGAGGTATGGTTGCAAGTTCAAGGCCAGTCTGAGCGACATAGTAAGCTAAAAACTGAACTACATAGCAAGACCCTGCCTCAAAAAGACTAAAAGTGTGCAATGCCGGAATGGAGGGTGACTGTTTACTGAGTCAGTCCACGGGCTGGTCCGGCACAGCTCTGGGTTGGATGGTGGGAAGGCCCGTGCTGGGTGTGCGTGCTCCTTTGCTGTCTTCTGCCCACTATGAACTATTCCTCCTCTGCAATGCCCCTCTGTTATGCCACCTGCCTTGGAGCCAGCCAGCTATCAACTGAAACCTCTACAAATTGTGAGCTACAATAAACCTTTCCTGCTTTAACTTTGGGTGTTGGGTACTATGTCTCAGCAATGAGAAAAGTAATGAAGACAAGGCCCAAACTTGTGGTCCGCCTGTCTCTGTCTCCCAAAGTACAGGGATTACAGATGTGTGCCACCACACCCAGCTAAATTATACAACTTTTAAGTCACCTTCACAATATAGGTTGTGGCCTTGAAAAATGAGAAACACTCAAATACTGCCATGCGTGGAACATAGTCCCCAAGGCTCCCTCCTCCTCAGTGTCTACTTGCAGGGAAGGCTGCTGCACCACACCAAACGCCCAGTGGAGAACAGGGGCAAATGTACTTCTGTGGATCCATACAAAAGGTGTTCAGTGCTTTTACCCAAGCAGAATTGAGACCAGCACTTGGATCTACCAGGACCAATGGCCATTTTCCTCACCGCACTGCCTCCTGCTCGTCAGCATATTCGATCAGGGTTTGAGAGTAAAAACCAGATGGGCAATGTAGCCTGACAGGGCTACCCCAGTACAAAACCTAGCCAGGCGTGGTGTCGCATGCCTGTAATCCCTGCACTCTCGGAGCTGAGGCAGGAGGATCGAAAGTTCAAGTTCAGCCTGGGCAACTTGGCAACTTAGACTCTTTAGTGTCAAAATAAAAAAAAAAAAAAGTTGGGAGTGTAGCTCAAAAAAAAACTGTCCTGAGGCTAAAGATTTAGCTCAGTGGCACAGAGCCTGCCTGGCAAGCGCAAGGTCATGAGTTCGATTCCTGGTACTGGAAAACAAAACAAAACAAAAAAATACTTCCACACCTGTGGTCTGGGTCCCCAGCAAGTCTCTGAGGTACTTCTGCAGGGCATCCTTTGGGATTTCCATGGTCTTCCTCACAGGACGAGTGTTGGGAACACCCGAGTGCAATAGAAAACCCAGAAGAGACTCTAACTCCTTCACCGCAGTCTCTGGGTCGTTGACCTGGTTTGGGAAAGAACACCCATTCTGTGCCTGTCTCCATGAGGCTAATTCTCCAGAGGGAGACAGCACGGGGTCAGTTTTCTGAGGAGCACCCATGGAGACAGGACATGCGGCTCTAAGGCAGAAGAAGAATGAGTTTTACCTCCAGCCAATTCCTAGCTGCACTGACCTTCTGTGTCCCTACTGCCACCTGCTTAACAATGAAAACCGAAGGTAGAAAGTGGCCTGTGATCCCGTCGCTTGGCTTTCGTGTTCACAGCCACGACCAGGGTGGCACATGTGGCTGGTGGCCGCTGAGTCCCCACCTAGAGAAGCATCACTTGCAAAGTCCAGATGCCACCCTGAAAAGCTTGCACTAATTCCTAGTGCATAGTAGATTTTTTTTTTAAGTGATGAGCCAGGTATGGCGACACATGCCCGTAGTTCAAGCTACTTGAGGGGCTGAAGTGGGAGGATTGCAAGGTTGAGGCCAGCCTGGGCAATTTAGGGAGAGCCCATGTCAGAATTTACAGAGGGGAGCGCGGCGAGTGGGAGTGAAGGTCAGTGATAGAACACCTCCCTACCAAGTGCTAGGCCCTGGGTTCAGTCTCCAGTGATGAGACAGAGAAAGAGAGAGAGGGAGAGGGAGAGAAACAGGGATTACCTTAATGGTGCGAATACCAAGGCTGGCAGCTGCTTTTAGATTTGGTCCCAGGTCATCGAGAAAGATGGACTCAGAAGGCTGCCGGCCGAGGCGCTCTAAGCAGAGCTGGTATATCCTAGGGTCTGGCTTACAGACTCCTTCCAAGCAGGACTCCACCACCTGGGGAGGGCAGGACGGAGAGAGCTGGCCCTAACGGTAGAGCGCCCACATGCACGGTGGCGCATTTTCTGAGAGAAAGAGCAGGACAGCTGAGGCTTAAATGATGCTGTCTTCTCCAACAGAATGACTGGGAAATTCTGGATTATGACCTGGGGGCAAACTCAGGAAATCAAAGCTCTGGTTCACACCCAGCGGCCTTGCACAAACAACTCGCCTCAGTTTCACCCTCAGGAAAATGGATACTTACGGCCATCTTGCCCATCTCAGCGGTTATTGTGAAGCTTAAATGAAACTTGAGTGAGCTCAGAAAGACAAATCCTTTGCTAATGCTACACGTTACGGTTATCCGGAAGAGAAGGCTATGCATTGCAACAAAAGCATGTTGGGTGGGGGTCTCACCCCAGATGCACAGCAGGATCACCAGTGGAGCTTTCCCCATATGCACATGCCCAGGGCCCAGGGAAAGGGACCTGCCGTCTGCTTAAAGCCCAGCGCACACTGATGGGAAGGCAGAGCAAGTGTTTATTTCAACCTCACGGGTCCAGTGAAAGGGATTAAGGGGCTGGGACCATGCTATTTTCTAGAGTCAAGCCAAACAACAGAGGTAAGGAGAAAGAGGCTCTGCTAATAAAATGTATGCTACTGAAATTATCAGGGAAATGTCCTCCAATGGGCTCCAGAGACCACCGAGACCCTCACTGTGTTTGGTGAGCTGTTTCCACCCGCACGGAGTCGGGCTATCCATGGAGAACGGGCCTGAAGGAGGCATCCCCCTGAACCATCACAACTCTGGGAGACCCGTGAAACCTTACTGCCACTCTGGGCTTTGAAGTCTCCGAAGGAAATTATCACTGCTGTCAGTTGTAAGACACAAACTCTTAAAAAGTACCCAAATATAGCCATGCATGTCAAAATTCTATCATAAACATTAAAGGCTGGGTGTACACACCGAGCAAACCATGTGGAATTCAGTAGCACGGCCAATCAGGCCTTCATAGCACTGGACTTAACTTCACAAAAAGAGAGGGCAGGACTTAGCTGGTCTCAGAAGGCCAGAGTTCAAAGGACCAGGAAGACACAGGCTGATGGAGGGGCTTGCAGTAAGTGTCACCTGGGCTCTGAGCTCAAGTGTCAAGAGGCATCTACAGCTGAGTGTCAAATCCCATAAACACCTGGCCTTGCTAAAGGCACAATGGTATTTTAAAAGCTCTGTTTCGGCCCATTATATCTAAATATAACCCAGTAAAGTGGCTATAGAGAGACACATTCACTCAAATACTGCTACGAGGCAGGTGCAAGGATCCTGTGTCCATCCTTATAGATTCCCTCAAGCTTACCACGTCAAACTGGCTCCGGTCCAGGGGCAAAAAGCTTTTCCCACTGGCAAGATAAAAATTATTTGTCAGGACTGCAGTCTGGAAGCCTTTCGCCCGAATTTGAGAGATGGCCTCGGTCATCACTGGGAACTGCTGTGCCACTTGCTTGCTGGTCAGCAGAGAGAAAAATGAATCCACAGGCACTGTAGTCTTAGACTATGAAGAATGGAAGGAAGAGGGGAACCAGCAGTTATTAAGAGTGAGAACAAGACAGGCGTGGTGTCGTACATCTGTAGTCCCAGTCCATGGGGAAGTGGAGGCAGGATGACTGACAGTTTAAGCCCAGGCCTGCCTGCCTGCCTGCCTGCCTGCCTGCCTGCCTTCCTTTCTTCCTTTCTACCTCTCTTTCTCTCTCTCTCTCCCTCCCTCCTCCCCTCCCTCCTTCCCTTTCTCTCTTTCTCTCTCCTTCCTTCCTTCCTTCCTTCCTTCCGTCCAGGCTGGCCTTGAACTTGTAGCGATCCTCCTGCCTCATCCTCCCAAGTGCTGGGACTACAGGCATGCACCATGACACCCACCAAGGCTGGGAAATTTAGCAGGATCCTGTATTGAAAAAATAAAAAGAGCTGGGGATGTAATTCAGTCCAGGCTCTGGATTTAACCCTAGTAAAACACACACACACACAGATGCATCAGTCAGGCCTGGTGACAGGCCTTTAATCCCAGCCCTCCAGGAAGCTGAAGCAGGAGGAGTGCAAGTTTGAGCCCAGCCTAGGTAATTTAGCAAGACTCTGTCTTAAAAAAATAAAAAAAGTGAGAAAGGCTCTTGAGATACAAGGAAAAAATACTAATTCCTGGCTTGCTACTGCTACCTGGTGATCAGAGCCCAAGCTATTGGCTTGCTGCCTAAAGGAATTATCTCCCTCACCCCTGTGCTGAACTCTACATGTGAGATTTCTTGTCTTTGTTTTTGGTGGAGTGTGGCGACCTCATCCAAACGGGCACCAAATCCTTCAACTCAAGAACCCTCTTGCACAGCCTCCTGAGTAGCTGGGACTACAGGTAGGCAGCACCATGCCTCCACTACAAATGAGTTGTTTTTTTTTTAAATGCAAGAGGACAATTTATTCAAAGGTGGCAGGAAGTGGGAGGAGACATGACAGAAAGTTACTTTGGACAAGTAGGGAGAATTCAAAAGTGAATTTCTCCAGAAGTGAGTTTTTAACTGACTTAGAATTAGTTACCAGGACTAGGGAAATGACCTGTTCCTATCAATACTGCAGTTAAATAAGTGCTTTCTTCCGCTCCTCAGCTGACATTTTTTAAAAAAAATCAGAACGTCATCATCAGAACATAATCAGATCATCGTCACCATTATATTAAGTAGATATCATTTACTTTTAATGATCCAGAAAGCATTTAATGATTTTGTATTATCCTCAACATTACTGTTATGAACCTTAACTTGCAATCAATTTTGTTGTTTTAAAATTTAATCTGTGTGGGTTCTGAAACTCTTAGTATGTTTCAAAATTTGCAAAGGCCAAGTCAGCTCTATTTTTAATAGCTTTATTGAAATATAATTAATATACCACCCAATTCACCTAAAATGCACAAGTCAATGGCTTTAATATATACACGAAGTCATACAACACCACCCAGTCCATTTTAGGACCCTTTTGTTACTCTAAACAGAAACTCAAACCCATCAGCACTCACTCTTCGTTTCCCCCAGCAACCACAGGCCTAGAAAACTCCCCATCTGCTTTCTCTATGTATTGATTTCAGTATTGTGGACATTTCATATAAATGGAATCATATAAGGTTTTCTGTGTGTGTATGGTATTGGGAATAGAATCCAGGGTTTTTGCACTGAGCTATACCCCCCAGCCTTTTTTTCCCTTTTTATTTTGAGATAACGTCTCCCTAAGTGGTTAAGTTGCCCAGGCCAGGCTCAAACTTATGGTTCTAGTGCCTCAGCCTCCCAGTGTACTAGGAATATAGGTATGCACCACCACGCCCAGCTAAATAGCACACGCATATAATCCTAACTCTTGGGAGGCTGAGGCACAAGAATCGTCGCAAGTTTGAGGCCAGTATGAGCTACATAGTCAGTTCAAGGCAAGCTTGTAATACACAGCAAGACCCTGTCTCAAAAAACCAGTAATAACCCAGGCCTATAAACCCAGCACTCTGGAGGGTGAGGCAGGAGGACTGCTGTTGACAAGTCTGTTTGCCTTAACATGTTTTCAAGGTTTACTGCTTATTTTTTAATTGCAGAAAATATACCTAAAATAAAATGTACCATTTTAACCATTTTAAAGTTCAATGGCATTGAGTACAGTCACACCACTACACAATCATCACCACCGTCCATCCACAGAACTTTTCTTACTATTATTTTAAAATTACATTTTGGTAGACGTATTTACAGGTTATATGAGTTAATATACAGGAAAAACTTAGAAAAATGCACAGCACAGAGAAAATGGTCAGTGCTATTACTGCTTTCATCAGCTTTTGGAACAGAGCCACTATGGAGACGGCTCTTGTTTCAACAGCTGCTGGTGAGACTTATGGGAAAGAATATTTTTACTTACTCATGTATAAAGTCAAACTTGAGTACCTAGGGATAATAGCCTAAGCATAATAAATTGCTTAAAAACCTGTTCAGTTTTCACATTATTTTCAGTTTGACCAGTTTATGGATAAAGGTTGCAAATGCCATTCAAGTCAAAAAGAAAAACATAGAAATGCAGGTATGTTTATCACTCACTATTTCAGAGGAAAGTCTCCCAAATTCTTGTAAGAAATCTCCTGTTGTTATCTCTCCTCTCATAAATCTCATCCAGGGTCCATTTTCACCACCTTTGCTCAAGGCCTTCAATATAGTTCCGGAAGGGACATGGTTCTGCACCTCCCATTCTACAGGAAGTAAAATATTTGAAAGTGAAATACACTCCCAAATGGCTGGGGCTTGGGGACAGCAAGGGGAATGACAGTACCAGTTGCTAGGGTGTCACTGTGGTGCCCAGGAGCATGCTACTGCGAATTCAGAGATGCAGGAAATGCAACATGTCAACCTTGGACTTCAAAGGAAAAGATGGTAATTTGCATAACAGCACAGCGCTGTGGAGCATCAGCTCCTTACCACTAGCTTGAGACGACCCTGGACACAGGGTGCTGAACCTTCACCTCTGGTCTGTCACTAGATGGACCACATACGTCAGGTCGCTTGCCCAGTCCCAGCACGTACTAAGGAAATCCAGGAAAGGATACACTAGATTCTGCCAACACCCCACACAGAACTCTTCATTTTATACCTACATAATCCTTTGTGGCAGTGTTACTGGAACACTGAAATATTCAATTGGGGGATGCTGTCTGTGTGGAAAATTTCTGCTCAGAAAGAGCTAAGAGCCAGATAAAGTGGTGCATGCCTGTAATCCCAGCACTTGAGGCTGAGGCAGGAGGATCACCATGAGTTAGGTCAGCCTGGGCTACATAGCACATTCAGTTCCGGCCTAAACTACATAGTCAGAACCTATCTCTAAAAAAACAAAACAAAACAAAGCAAAAAAAGTAGCTAAAGCAGGAGAGGCATCAGCACTGTGTAATACTAGGAACACCTGGACAAATGTCATTTCTTGTACAAGGTTGTTTCTTTGCTCTTTCTATATAATACACCTGCTGGGGAAATATATGCATGTATGTATGTTGTATATAACATTCATAATTATATCTCAAGATATGATACATTTTATTTAAATCTTTTGTTTTGATGACATTTTTATTGGTTTTTCTGATAAAGTAGAGCTTACACATTTGAAAGCACTTCCAACAATACAAAAAGGTACCCAAAAAGAATGACAAGCAATTTCATTCTTTAGAAGTAACTGTTACTGATGTGATGTGAAGTATGTCCTTGGAGACCAGTGAGACTTTTAAAACTCAATCTAAAAATAATACTTCTTTAATTTTAGAGCTGAAGCGTACCGTCCTTCTAATAGGGCCAGAGTGGCAAGCCTGGCGGGGGGCCGGCACCTGTGTGAGCCATTGCTGATGAAATATAAACAAGTATAACCTTTAGGAGAGGAATTTGGCGATGCTGTCAAATTTTTAATGCATATATATTCAATGTAGTGATTCCACTTCCATAGTGAGTTCAAGGCAAGCTTGTAATACACAGCAAGACTCTGTCTCAAAAAAACAGTAATAACCCAGGCCTGGTATCACAGGGGAAACAGGATGGGGGGGCGGGTACCGAGAGGCTCTGACAGTGCTCAGGGCCCTTCTGAGGTTGGAGCACAGAACCCAGTTTATGCAGCCACTCTGCCAGCTGGGTTATGTTCTCAGCAGTACCAGAAAGCCTAGACACGGGCACAGAAACCTGCACAGGCGTGGCCTAGCGGGGAGAACTAGCCAACCAGCCCAACAGAAGGATAAAAGGACAGCTGCTGGCCCTTTCTCCTTCCTACTGGGCAGGATGAGAATGTGACAGCACGAGGTCAGGCAGCTAAGACACACGCGGCATGAGGCTGGGAATGAAGAGAACTCCCAGCAGAAAGAGCTGCAGTCAGGCCTGGGGGTGGCTCAGCGGTAGAGAACTGCACAGCCTGCAAGAGGTGTGGTTCCATTCTAGCCCAGGGGAGAGACAGACAGACAGACAGACAGAGACAGAGACCGCTGGAGTCCTTGCTGCCACAGAGCTGCATCCCGGCCCCACACAGCATACGTGGGCCTTCATGTACAAGAGAAACAAACGTCTGTCTTGTTTCAGTCCCTGTTTTATTAGGATTTCTGATATTTGAAGCCAAATCTAATCTGACTAATGCAAGGTGAGCTGAGTCTAGGAAGAAGCAAAACCAGGGAGCGGCTGATGAAGAGAGGATGAAAGAGACCTGAGGTCTGACACTGGGTTCAGAAGCGGGTTTGGGGAGTGAGGTAAAAGAGGGGAGGAATTCAGGACAGCACCCAAGATTTCAGAAGTAGCACCATTCCCAGGGAAAGGTGGTTCATTTCTAATTATAACGGTAACCATGGCAGCTCATCCTTTACTGGAAATATGGGGTGAGCCAACCTCCCAGTGCGCTTAGCAAGTGCTTCCACACATCACTTAACTCTCCCCACATTCCAACCAGGTAGGTACAACGACTGGTTCTAATTTAATGAGAAAACTAAAACCCACAGAATAACCTGCCTAGGACACTTGGACACCTCATGGTACTTGGAGTTGGAGTCCAAGACCCACGTACTGCCCCATGGGATCTGCTGCCGCCCAAATCTTCTCCTCTGTCTCCCCTACCACCCCCATTCTCCCATGCCCACCCCGGGCCCCCAGAATGAAACCAGGAAGAGCTCACCAGCAGCCACACTCCCTGGGGAAGGGATGAGAACGCCGCCCATGTCGAAGATCACCGCTCGGTAGGCGCTGCCTCCAGAATGTGTCCATCGGTGTGCTCCCCGCCGCCTGCTCTGGATGCATCTCAGGAAGGCCGCCCTCCAAGCCCACTGGAGGTCTGAGGACCGGAAAAGCCTCCCTATGTACATGGTGAGGCGAGGCTGCAAGGGAAGAAGGCACAGGGCCCAGCTCGACCACAGTGCTTTCCTCCAGGAGCTCAGGGGTGCCAAAAGGAAGTCTCCACCTGATTTCCCACAAATGAATGCTTCGAACCACATCCACAAACGACCTCAGCATCCTCCCTCCCTGACTGCTCCCCCAGGGGGCTCCGTCAACTCCTCAGCTGCTCAAGCTAGAAGAGGGGGACTCAGCCTTGACTTTCTGCCATCTTCACCTGGCCACTTCAGCTCCAGCTGCTGTGCTGTCCATTTTCCCTCCTGAAAACTCCACCTGCTACTCTCCTTTCTCACTGTCATCTCCGTCCATGGATCCTAACTGGTCCTCTGCCCCTTCCCAAACCTCTCTCCAATTCTTTCTTCACTTGTCAGCCAGGGTAACCACGCAAAACTGCACATCTGCCAAGGCGTGGTGGCACACACCTATGATCCCAGCACTCAGGAGGCTGGGGCAAGAGGATCACTGCAAGTTTGAGGCCAGCCTGGGCTAGAGTAAGTTCAAGGCCAGCCTGCACTACACACTGAGATCCTACCTCAAAGACAAAAAACTGCACATTTGATCACATATGAACCCCATTTGAAACCTTCTGTGGCTCCCTACCACACTCAAGATAAACTTTCAAGTCCTTCATCTGGTTTAAAATGCCCAATAAGATCTTTGCCCAGCAACTCAGCTTACCCTGTTTTACCACCTGGGTAAGCTGGGTAATGTGAACACACAAATATATGTGCAGTTTCCTCAAATACACAATATTCTCTTGTCTTTGGGTACGCTGCTCTCCTGACCTGGACTGCTTCTGCACCAGTTGCCTGGTAATTCCACGTTGTCTTCTGGGTGGTACTGTCACTGTCACGAAACCTCTTCTGGCTACCAGAAAAGACACATAAGGAGTCTCTCCTATATACTCCCAGGATATCACCTTCTCCTTATATTTGGATGCCAGCATCGTACTGTCAAAATGTCGTTCTCTCTCTCTCTCTCTCTCTCGCATTCTCTCTCTCTCTCTCTCCTTCTCTCCTTCTCTCTCTCTCTCTCTCCTTCTCTCTCCTTCTCTCTCCCTCTCTCTCTGTCCTCTCTCCCTGTCTCCCTCTCTCTCCCTCTCTCCCTCTCTCTCTCTCCCTCTCTCTCTCTCTCTCTCTCTCCTTCTCTCTCCTTCTCTCCCTCCCCCTCCCCCTCCCCCTCTCCCCCCCCTCTCTCTCTCCTACACACAGATCACTGTCTTGGCTTCCTAATAACTCCCCACTGCCTCTTTTCTAAACTTACTTTCAAAAGCATGCAGGAGTGTTTGAGTATAAAGTGCTTATTTACTACACAAAGAATTAAAAAAAAAAAAAGAAAGTTCAAAGAAAAAACCACATACACAGACACACAACTGTACAATATATTCCTAAGTACATGGTACAGAGATTAAAATGTCAATAGTCAACTGAGATAAACAGTATATGGGAGATCACTGTCCTTTCTTTGCAATTTTCTACAGACTTAAAAAAGCTAGGAAAAAAAAAGAATTCTGAAAGTTCTATTTGTCTCATGGAAATCACTGAGCTTTTCAAGCAGTTTATAGTTAAAGTTTTCCAGTGGAATGTGGTGACATGCACCAGTGCTCCCAGCTACTGGGGAGGCTGAGGTAGGAGGTTCGCTGGAGCGCAGGAGTTTGGGAACAACCTGGTCAGCACAGCGAGACCTCACTTGAAAAACAAGTGTGAGGATGTGGCTCCATGCTACAGCGTGTGCTTCACAGGCACAAGGTCCTAGATCGGATTCTCCAACACCAAAACCAACATTTTCTAAAAATCAAGTTAGGGCAAAAAGGTTTGTAAGACAGTTCACAATTTTGTCACTTTATTCTAAAACTGCATAAACATCTAAAGAAAGGAATCTTGGGCTGGAGTGCAGCTCAGCGGTACAGGACTTACCTAGCACACACAAGGTCCTGGGTTTAAAAAAAGAAAAACGTTAAGAACTTTAAGCAGTGAATCTTAAAAACCGTATGATGTGCTTCGCAGTTATGGGCCATCTGCTGTATTTGTGAGTAAATTTTGAAATAAAAAAACCTTGAGGTTGATTTGCATTTATTTATATCGCTATGCCAAGGCCAAAGTTTATGATATAAAGAGAAATGTATTTATAGTCTTGTAAAAGCATCAACACATCTTGTGTGAGGGCTTAAGAGAGATGAAAAGCGTCTTTGGGGCCTGAAGGACCATCTTTAATCCTACTGAGGTCACTGCCTCCCACACTCTCCAGCTAATGGATATGTGGGCAATGCTCCCACTAGCAGCTTGCTTATTCCTTCTGCTACAGATGCTAGTTCTGTTCTAGCCACGTGCCAACAGTCTCTGCAGACCAGGAAAATGATGCAACCTCTCACCCCTCAGGCCTTGGTACTTGCTAAGCTCAAGGACTAGAACACTCTTCCCTGCTGTATCTGCCTAGTGAATTTCCATTTACTTTTCTTTTTTTTTTTTTTGGTTCCGGGAATTGAACTCAGGACCTCACGCTCTCCATTTACTTTTATATCACAGCTTTTCTGCCTAGCATGTGCAAGCTTTTTTTTTCTTTTACTTTTTTGTTCGTTTGTTTGTTTGTTTTTGAGACAGGATCTCGCTATGCAATTGAGCCTGGGCTTGAACTCACTTTGTAGCCCAGGCTGGCCTCAAACTCACAAGGATCCTCCTGCCTCAGCTTCCCGAGTGCTGGGGATTACAGGCATGCACCACCACGCCCAGCCTTATCTCTCCTACAGAATATTTATTTCCTTCCTTCCTTTTCTAAGCAAATGATAGATTTATTCTCATGCTCCTTCTCCATACCTTCAACAGAGTTCTTACCTAGTGATACTGTAACTTTCATGTCTAACTGCCCTTAGAATTGTAAGCTTCCTTAAGGCAAGAACTATCTTGTCTTTATACACATCTATCCCCTGGGGCCTAGTACAGGTCTAGACGCAGCAAGTGCTCAATATAAATATGACTTGTAAGTCATCAACTGGGTATATCAGAAAACAGGGGTTGGGGCTGGGGATTTAGCTCAGTGGCAAAGCGCCTGCCTGGCAAGGACAAGGTCATGAGTTCGATTCCTGGTACTGGAAGAAAAACAAAAAACAACAACAAAAAAGAAAACAGGGGAAAAGCCAGGCATAGTGACACTTGTAATCCCAGCCCTCTATGAGGCCGAGGCAAGAGGATGGCAAATTCAAGCCCATTCTGGGCAATCTAGCAAGAACCACTTGAAAATAAAACTCATAAAGGAGCTGGGCTGGGAATACAGGTGAGTGATGAAGTGACCCTGGGTTTCATCCCCACTACTAAACAATTTTTAAATGGAAAAGGTGAGGGCAAGCTTAGTACTTGACAGCCACAAAGAACTGTCACATGTCCAACAATTCCAACTCTCTGAAACTGGCATCTTCTAAGCCACAAAGAATATCTGTCTTCTTGACACTCAGAAGAAGAGTAGCATAGTGCAGATCTGCTCCCTAAATCATGCTCTGATAAATATGCATACAATGTGTCTTATCACATATCAAGGAGATGATTTAGTGAAGAGATTAAGCTTAGGCTCTGGAGTTGTACTGCCTGGATTCAAATTCTAACCCTATCACTAAGTTTGAGATCCTGGGCACATTACTCTAAACCTCAGGTTCCTCCTCTGTTAAATGCGCACCATTATAGCACTTATGTCATAAAGGCGTGGCTACCATTACACAAGAAAAATATATGCAGAGCACTCAAGTTAGTATCTGGCACAACACTAAATGTTATCTACCACTTGGGCTGGGTGCACGCCTCAGTGGTAGAGTGTGTGTTTAGTATGTGCAAGGTTCTGGGTTTAATCTCCAGCATCACTAAAAAAAGAAACTGTTTAGTACTGTAATACAACTATAAAAAAGTTCACATTAAGCCTCCTATGTTACATGCATATACTATGTGTGTATGGTTTATGCACTTTCACATAAACCGAAGATTCTTAACAAGGGGTGACTGGGGCCCTGGCAACATCTGGACACATTTCTGGTCACCACGAGTACTACTCATGTTTAGTGGGTCAGGCCAGAGATGCTTCTGAAGATCCTATAATGCACAAGACACACATTCACACATCCTCAAAGAACTGTCAGGGCCCAAAATGTCAACAGTGCAAAGGTTGAAACACCTTTTTATAAACAAGGGTATGAATGTAGTCCATAGGGAGTGGTCATAAACTGCATATATGCATATGTCATGTGGTCACGCTCCACATATACAGTCCATATAGCCCATACCTCCCCAGGGTCTACCCACACATCTTATGTATCACAGCATATACCTAGAACGGCATCCTGTGATTATGCGTCTTACATGGATTGGTTGTGGCTGTCGTAATATGCTAAAGGCAGTATGACATGCTGGGAAGAATGTTACCATTATTGCTACACACATTTCATTTCATCCTCACAACTACTATGGGATATTATCCCAACTTTATACAACGACTAACTCATGATTACACAACTGGTTAGTTTGGCATGATGGCCAGCGCCTATAATCCCAGCATTCTGGGAAGCTGAGGCTGGAGGACTGAAAGTTCAAGACCAGCCTGGGCAACTTACTGACTTGGTGAGGCTCTCTCAAAAAAAAAAAAAAAAGAAAGAAAGAAAAAAAAAAAAAGGAAAAGAAAAAGGAGGCCCGGCGTGGTGCTGCACACCTGTAATCCCAGCACTCGGGAAGCTGAGGCAGGAGGATTGCCATGAGTTCGAGGCCAGCCTGGGCTACATTAGTGAGTTCAAAGTCAACGTGGACTACAGAGCCAGACTTTGTCTGCTAAAAAAGAAAAGATTGCACAACTGGTGATAAAGGTCGACTGCATAAAGGCAGAAAATATGTTTACTCTCTTCACCAATGTAACCCAACCACCCAGAGTGTTGAGACATTCAGTAAACTGTTTTTTTTTTTTTTTTTTTTTTGGAGACAGGATCTCGCTATGTAATTCAGGCTGGTCTCGAACTCCCGTCGATCCTCCTGCCTCAGCCTCCCAAGTGCTAGGATTACAGGTGTGCAGCCACCAAGTGCTAGGATTACAGGTGTGGTGGCTTAGTAAACATTTTTGAAGTGAAAAGGGAAACAGGATCCCGAACGATTTCTAGCTCTGTCCTTTTAACCAGCCCACCGCCCTACCTTAAGAGTCAGAAATTCTACACTCAAATCTCCATGAGCCGTCCGAGCAACAACTTCACCTTTCAGAGCCTTAGAGTACCTAGAACCTGCAAAGAGGGCTTGACACAAAGCAACCCCTCCTAGGGCTGGAGCGAGAAGTCACAAAAATAACAAGAGGCAAGAGCCCCAGCACCGGGCAGGTTACTCGTACAATCTGGAGATCTCTTGGAGCTGGGCACCTTGAGCCGTCAGCCGAAGTGGAGCGAGAACGAGGCCTCTCCAGCAAGCAGACGGGCACCGCAGCAGCCCAGGGTACAACCCGCTGGTTTTTCTCCGCCCGCTCCCAGAAGAGCGCATGCTTGTCTCTGCGCCGACCAGCCCAATCGGCGCGCGCGCTGCTGTGCGCATGCGTAACCCCGTGGGTCAGCGACGGCGGCCGGGAGGCGGAAGTGGAGGTGGTTGTGGCTCGGAGGACTGTGTGGAGTGCTGCTGCTGAGGCGGCGGTGGTATCGACGAGGCGGTGGCGGCGCTGCCCGCCCCGGGCTGCTGTGCCTCTCAGCTTGGCTCCCAACCTCCCCTGAGCCCGCCGGGGCCCGCGCCGGCCAGCGTCTGCCCTATGAGTGTGTCACTGATTGTCATCCGATTGGAGCTCGCGGAACACTCGCCCGTCCCCGTCGGCTTCGGCTTCAGCGCCGCCGGTGAGACCCGCGGCCGCGTCGCCTTCGCTGTGGCGTGGTCTGGGCCCGGGGTTCGCCTTCCCGAAGGGCAAGCCGGGGACAGGCTGCGGCGAGGGCTCTTCCCTCACCCGGACGCGGAGAGCGGGTTGGGCTCGCTCTCGTTCCTCCGTCCGTGATTAAGAAGCCTTCTCGCGTGTCGTCCCCGCGAGGTCCCCTGCGACCCCTTCTCCCGCCCGCTCCCGCGGGATTCTGTTTCTGCCGGGCGCGTCTCCCCCGCCCGTCCCTCCGGCCCGCCGGGGAGTCGTGCTGTGTGTGTGTCTCGCTCGCGTTTCCTCCTTTCGGCTTCGTGAAAGCAGGGACTGGATACCAGCGGCGCCGCGGGTCCCTGGTTCTTTGGGTGGGCGTTCATTGAGGTGTCTCATGACAAAAATCGTTAAATAAAATTTGGACCCTTCCCGCGTCCCAGCCCTGCGCTGAACACTTCCCTGGTGTGCGTTGTCGTAGGGATCTCTGAAGCTGCGCTGTGTGGTACAGGATGGGTGGCACGCGCCCTTTACAAAGTGGGGAACTCAGGCCCAGTGATTAGAGGGTTTGCCCAGGGTTATCGGTTCATAGTGGAATTGGGATTCTAACTCAAAAGAGTGAACCCTTCGCCCCCAGCCACGCACCACCTTACTGGAATGCAGCTCCGACTGTGTTCCTTGATGCCCAAAAACTTAACTACAGCCGGGCGTGGTGGCGCATGCCTGTAATCCCAGCACTCGGGAGGCTGAGGCAGGAGGATTGTTGCAAGTGTGAGGCCAGCCTGGGCTACAGAGTGAGCTCACGGTCAGCCTGAACTGCATAGCGAGACTCTGTCTCAAAAAGACCAAAACAAAAAAGTTACCTACAAATAGCGTTCTTTCAGAAGCTGCTTTTAATCGAATGTTTGGTGTCTGCTGAAGCTTCAGTTGTGGGCAGAATCAGATGTGGTATCTTCTTGAAGGGTGCCAACAGTTGAGTAAGGGAGACAGATGAATTACATAAGAGCAGATCACAAGTTCAAGCCGAACCTGGGTGGTTTAGTCACTTAGCAAGACCCTGGCTCAAAATTTAAAAAGGGCTGGGATTAGCTCAGTCCTGGGTTCAAACTCTAGTACCATACATACACACTCGAAAGAATAAGCATACAGTTACAAATGTGATGAGTGGCATAAAAGGAGAAACTATTATAAGAAAATCTGGTGTGGGAGGGTCTGGGGCAGGTAAAGATGATGTCGCTGAAAACTTGCTGAGTATGTGAATTTTGGAGTTGCAAATTCAAGATTGAGTTGGTTGGGGAGTTTTAGGGTTGTTTTTTTTTCCTTTTGAAACAGGGAGGGTATCACTACATTTTCCAACTGGGTTTAAATAAGTATGACTTAGATAAGCTTGGTGGTACACATCAGTAACCTCAGCACTCAGTAGGCTGAGGCAGGAGAATCAGTAACTGGAGGCTATTATGGACTACATAGGAAGTTCAAGGGCCTTATGGACTATATAGCAAGATCATGTCTTAAAATACAAACAAAAAGTTAGTTGAACATCAACTAAATTGTCCTACATCTAGGTGGATTAGTCATGGAGTCATTTATTTTTAACAGATATTTAGAGAGCCTTCACCGTATGCTGGACATGGTAGTATCAGTAAGTCTGGGAATACAGTGGTGGGCAAGATGAGCGTGGTCCCTTCCTTCACAGAGCTTATTGCATAAAGGGTATTTCAGTCAAGTCTCCAAATTCCTTTTTCCCTTTTATGTGTTTCATTGGTTTAAGACAAATAATAGGTTTTCATGACTTAATCCACAACATGAGGGTAATCCAGGCTCTTCAAGAAGATGATTTCTACAATATGGCTTATTAATGGACTTGCCACCTTAATTTTGGGCTTAACAGAGTCTTAGTTTATCAGATGTGATTAATATATTAGTTCCTCTGGGCATAATCATCTTTGAACCTTCTCTGAGGCCCCTGCTTTTATCGATTTATTTATAGTGCATGATTTCATGAAGAAGGCCATGCATTTCTGAGTTTATTGTACTGATTGCCCATTGACTTGTTTGCTGAGGGTATTGAAAAAGTACCAGAGTGAGTGAAATGGATACTGCAAAACTGTCATATCTTCTTGGGGGAGAGGAACAGAGAAAAAAGGGAAACCTATTCATAGGCACATTGAGAGTGGAGGAGAGCTTGTCTATTATCATGTATTAATCTTTCATGCTTTTTTTTTTTTTTAGTCGGGGAAATGTCTGATGAGGAGATCAAAAAAAAGACACTCGCTTCAGCTGTCGCCTGTTTAGAAGGGAAGACACCAGGGGAGAAAGCAGCAATCATCCATCAGCACCTTGGCCGTCGGGAAATGACAGATGTAATCATTGAGACCATGAAGTCCAACCCAGGTATGCTTTCTGAAACCCTGGGTTCTCTTTTGCAATGTAGGCCTCTGGTTACCTATTTTATACATGCTGTTTGATGAGCCCGTCATGTTGACCCTTAGCATACTTATGTTTTTTCACTGCCTGTGTGCTTTATGTGAGCTTGTTTATTGTTGTTTTGGTTCTCTTTTTCATTATTATTTTTTTGAGACGAGGTCTGATTATGTAGCTCAGGCTGGCCTTGACTGGCCTTGAACTCACAGTGATCCTCTTACCTCAACCCCTCTAGGTGCTGGGATTACAGGCATGTACCACCACACCTGGTTTATGTGATGCTTGTTAAGCCATGTTTCACTGCCTCTAAATGTTTCGTTTAAGTTAGGCATGGTGCTGCACATGTATAATCCAAGTTATTCAGGAGGCTAAGGCAAGAGGATCAGTTGCCCTTAGGAGTTCAGAGTCAGTCTGGGCAACATAGTAAGACCTTGTCTAAAAAAAATTATATAGTTGATTAATTAATTCATCCTAACAAGTTGGATTTGCCACTGTAGTCAGTGAGGGAGAACGCCTTACCACCTATTTCAGCAGATCATAAGTGCATTAAGATAAGCATATTGTGCCTCCCCCTGCTCTACCCTTTCATTCCAGTGGAAGTGGTGATTGTTCTGTGTCTTTGAGCGTAGTCAGAACTGGTAGGTTTGGTTTTCTTTTTTTTTTTTTTTGGGAACTGGGAATCAAACTCAGGACCTCATGCTTGCCAGGAAGGCACTGGGCCACTGAGCTATATCCCCAGCCCATGCTTGGTTTTCAAATGCAGTAGTCCCAGATGTTTGCCCCCACTTACGAGTGCATGATGGAAAATGCCTGCTATATTATGCTCCTAGCTGTCCTTCAGTTTCTCAGTATTGAGATGTTTATGGGGGAGAAGGCAAAGTTGGGGTGACCCTAAACTCAGCTGTTCTCTGACTTCACGTGGTTCTTATGCAGTACTTTACATTTCCTCTATCAGAGTTTATTGTTCTGACTTGTATTTTAACCTAATTAGAATCCTTCAGTATATCTCTACCTGTTTATGATCTGCTAATTTCTGATTTATGAAAGATGAGTTAAAAGATACAATGGAAGAAAAGGAGTCTTCAGAAGCATCTCTCCCTGCGCAGAAAAATAGAGATCAAAATAAAGAATGCATAAATGCGGCTCCTGATTCTCCATCCAAACAACTTCCAGACCAGATTTCATTCTTCAGTGGAAATCCTTCGGTTGAAATAGTTCATGGTATAATGCACCTATACAAGACAAAGTAAGAAAATCCTTTTGCCTTTTGGGTTGATCTGTTTTTTGCCTTGGAGTAGAGAAAACTCTTGGCCTTTCCTGTACTGTGTATAAGGGAATTTCTAGATATTTTATCTTCTCTTGATCTTGTAGATAGGATTAAAACTCTGTCTTATGAAAGAAATATGTAGTACACTTTAAAAAAAAAGTCCCTTAAAAAAAAAAGAAGAAAGAAGATATTCCCTTAGCAATTAGGCATGGATAGTGATTGGGGAATTGAAAGAACAATGGTAAAAACAAGCAAGGAAAATGATCCACAATGTCATTGCCATCTCATACCCCCAGCTAATCTTTACTAAAACTAGAAAGTCAGTTAACTAATTATAATGGTATTACTGGTTTTTACCTTACTGTGATCCATACAAAACTTACTAGAGGCACAGAGAAAGGAAGCATTTCGCTAGATTGTTCACAAGCTGGGCTGTCAGCCTCTTACGATTAGTACTGATACCTTAAAGGCTTTCCTTCTTCTAATGTGTTGGCCAGGTCCCTCCTGGGAAAACAGCTGTGAAGTGAGTTTGTAGCATTTTAAAAGGAATTGAAGCTGGACGTAGTGGCACACACCTGTAATCCCAGCACTGTGGGAGGCTGATGCAGGAGGATTGACAAGAGTTCGAGGCCAGCCTGGGCTACATAGTGAATTCGAGACCAGCCTGAACTACATAGAAAACCCCCAGGTCTCAGTAACACCCACACGCGCCCCCAGAAAAAAATTGAATTGTGGGAGGTTTTTCTTTCCCCTCTTCTAGCTATTCCAGCTCAGCAACACTTTGTTATCTTTAATCCCATCCTCATGGTTTAGGATTCTTCTAGATTTAGAGCTCTTATTTTCATCTAAACCCTTTGCAAGAAGTCCACAGCTAGAAATGAGTCCCTCAACAACAGATTATTGTTCAGAAAATAATTGAGTAAAACACAAACTTTGAATTTTCCTAGTACAAATTTATGACTATAACAAGTCTTTAACTGCAGATTGGAAACTCTAGTAGGGGTATAATTTTAAAGCCTGCCTTAATGTTCACTGAAGATATGTTTGGGGATTTTGCATTTATTTATCTAGTGTGTATTTCAAGCCAAATGACAAGATACTTAAATTGAGTTGTGAAATATTACAAGTTGTATTTTTCCTATTTTCTTGGACATAAAAGTTACCTGATTAGTGTTATCTGAACTAACTATACCGCATCTATTCAAGACAGTCTAATTATTGTCTTATTAGTAAGATGACCTCCTTAAAAGAAGATGTGAGGCGCAGTGCCATGCTGTGTATTCTCACAGTCCCTGCGACAATGACCAGTCATGACCTTATGAAGTTTGTCGCCCCATTTAATGAAGTAATTGAACAAATGAAAATCATCAGAGACTCTACTCCAAATCAATATATGGTGCTGATAAAGTTTAGTGCACAGGTAAAAGTTAAGATATTAAAAATCTTTTTGCCACAGAAACTGTCATTTTGAAATTGTGTGATATTAGCAGTGTGTGATTTACAGTGTTTTGCACGTAATGTTCTTGACATGTATCTTCTAGGGTACTCTTGTAACCATAGATGCATTTCTTAATTCATTAGCAGAAATAAAACTGTTATTCAGGCCAGGGATATAGCTCAGCGGCACAGCACCTGCCTGGCAATTGCAAGGTTCTAAGTTTGATTCCCGGTACCAAACAATTGTTATTCATACCCATGAGTTTTTAATGCATCTTACTGGGTATAAAATCTGAGGTTTTACTTGTTTATTCAGTGATAACTACACTAGTAAAGCAGTAATTCCCAAACTTTTTGAAATTGACAACCATCATCTTATTTGCCATGACCTTACCTCTTTCATTCTCTTTTTACAAGGTGCTCTTTGATGCATTTTAGAAAATTTTTTTTTTTTATTTTGGTGATAGGAGCTATTTTATGACATTCTTTGAAGTGTTAAAGAGGCTTTAGTGTCTTGATAGAAATCACTGCAATAGGGTGACTAGAAGAATGGTGTTGCTTTCAGTTTTGAAGGTGATTGTGCATTATAACAGTTACTGTTTGCTGCAGAAAGGTCTTCCCTTCCCTTCTATATCATTCACTACATTAGGCAGCAATTTTCATACACCTCTGTTCTAAAGATGTTAGAAAGGTATCCTGTTGGTTTGCCTACTGTTCTTTTGAGCATGCATGTTTCTATATGAATAAGCTTTAGGTACTCAGTTATTCTTAGGTTCATTCAGTTTGTATTTTGTGTTAAGAGCTTGTTGTACATGTCCATTGGAATTTCTTCAGTTTTTTTTGTGTTTTTGGCTTTTAGGCAGGGTCTCGATATGTAGTTCAGGCTGACCTTCTGCTCACTGTGTAGGCCAGCCTGGCCTCAAACTTAAAGGGATCCTCCTCCCTCAGTCTCCTGAGTGCTGGGATTACAGGCACACGCCACCATAACCAATTTTCTTTAGGTTTTGAAGTGCAATTTTGTTGTAAGTTAATTCTGTCTCACCTCAGTGATAAATGGCCTCCTGAATTTTCTGCAGATCAACAGTTCCTACTTGCTAATTAGCAGCTGGCTATGTCAATGAGATCATGTGCTGTTGCCTCTCCGACCAGTCACGCAGGTGTGTGAGTGAAAAGGAGCCCATGACACAGGCCTCCTGGCTCTTTCCTTCCTCATTATAGAACTCCAGCATTGATAGCAGTGGCAGCCATTCAATGACCTGGTGAAGGAAATCAAGAGAAATGACAGTTGGAATATATTTGTGTCTGTTCGATAAGCCCCTTTAGTGTGGAGTTCTGTGTAGAAGAGGGCACATAAGCCAGGTGTGGTGGTGCACGCCTGTAATTCCAGCACTTGGGAGGCTGAGGCAGGAGGATCATTGTTCGAGACCAGCCTAGGATACAAAGTGAATTCAAGGCCAGCCTGAACTGCATAGCAAGACCTTGTCTCAAAAAGACCAAAAAAAAAAGAGGGCACATAGTTCTTGAGAGAGGCATTTAGAATGTGTTTTACTGTCCTGTAGACTTAGACTTCAAAAGTTAACAGTGAGAACAGAAAAGCACTTAACTCCCCTTACTGTCAACAGATTTTCTGAGTTCTCTAAGGAACTTTTGAAGCTATGGAAAAGTGACACCTTAAACTTGGTAGCACATGTGATAATAAAAATGGTGATAATAAATAACCTTTATTAGCCAGGTGTGGTGGTGCATGCCTGTAATCCCAGCACTTAGGAAGAGGAGGATCAGTGCAAGGTGGAGGCTGGAATGGGCAACAACACTGAATTCAAGGCCAGCCTGGGATACAGAGTGAGACCCTGTCTCCAAAAAAAAAAAGGACAATATTAGAAAGTAGGCATAATGGCCCAGCACTCCCAGAGGCTGAGGCAGGAGTTCAAGTTCAAGCCCAGCCCAGGTAACTTAGCAAGACCTTTTCTCAAAATAAAAAAGGGCTAGGGATACAGATCAATGCAAAGGGCCTCGTCTCAATCCCCTGTACTAGGGGGTCAAGTTTATAGGCTTTTCAAATAGTCTGAAGTCTAACAAACCCACCACATTAGTCTATATAGTAAACTCACAAGCTTCCCCGTAGCAGGTGCCATTCTGTTAATGTGCAGATGATACCATGAATATTTTCTGTCGCTCTTGGTAGATTTTACTTATATATCTGCACTATCCTTTCCTCTTCTGTCTTGGTTGTTTTGAATTGCCCTATTTATTGCTACTCTGGAATCTTAGGTTCTGATCCTTATCCTGTAAAGGCTTATCCTATCAAACACTAAGATCTAATAACCTCTTGCCATAAGATCTGAAGTTGTTAAATTACTACTAGGCTCTAACGGGAATAATAGATTCAATAGCTCAGCCAGCTGTTGAGCACTTACTGGATACCAGACCCTCTTCTATGTGCTTTTCATTTATTAGCTCTTTGAATCCTTTCAACAATGGTACAAGACCAGTGTTCGAACTTTTCATTTTATTTGTAGTTGAGGGAATAGGCATAGATAAGTCACTAACCAAAGTTGTTAGACAAGAAGTGTCAGATTTATGATTCAAACACAGGCAGCCTGACTATCCTGGGCAGCTATCTGTGCTATTACTGTGTTCTTTTTACCATAGAACTTTTAATAATTCATAAACCTCCATATCTTTTGCAGTCTCTTGAGTTTCTGATGGCCTTGGCTTTATGTTGGAGGTCTTATAAAGAGATGTGCTTGGGCCAGGGATACAGCTCAGAGGCACAGCACCTGGCAAGCACAAGGTCCTGAGTTCAATTCCTAGTACCATAGATAGATAGATAGATAGATAGATAGATAGATAGATAGATAGATGTGCTTACAAACTGTAATATGGAGCTAGGTGTAGTGGTGCACACCTGTAATCCCAACACTTGGGAGGCTGAGGCAAAATGATCTTAAGTGAGTTTGAGGCCAGCCTTAGCTATATTATGAGTTCAAGGCCAACCTGAACTACATAGCGAGACCCTGTCTCAAAAAAACAAAAGCAACCCTCTCAAAAAGAAAATACATACACTTTAGGAAACTTGGTCTTTGATAAGGAATTTATAATTTATTGTTCTTGGAGATTTTTTTTTTTTTTTTTTTGAGACAAGGTCTCAGTATGCATTTCAGGCTGGTCTTGAGCTCACTTTGTAGCCCCGGCTGGTCTCAAACTCGCAACGATCCTCCTGCTTCAGCCTCCCGAGTGCTGGGATTACAGGCGTGCGCCACCACGCCCAGCTCCGAGTGGTGTAGTATTTGATTTGTTTGTTTGTTCTTGGAGATCGAAAAAAAGGCAAATAACGAGTCAGTACTGTGTTGGCTTATTTCATTTACCTCTTTTGTAGGACGGTTAAGAAAACCATTTTGAGAATAAAAATTCAAAAAAAATTTTTTAAAAAGAGAATAAAAATATATTCTCATTACTACCGCTAATTGCTGTGACAGTGGAGGGACCCTGACCATAATGGATGTTTCTTTTTCTGAATTTAGCCTCCAAAGGCTACAATACAAACAAAAGACTGAGAGAAGAAAGCTGGGTTTCTTTGAATCTTTGACTCCATACAGTGCACACATTTTAAATGGAAGTTATTTCTTCTCTGTTCTTTGCAGTGAGCAGCAGGCTTTTGTGCATTTGGTACTGGGTTGAAGAAGAAACCGTGTGTATTTTTGTTCCGTCCTCTCTTCCTAGTGAAGAGCACAGTATGTGGCACTTAGTAGGTGTTCAGGAAATGTTAGAAAAGTAAGCCAGGCATGATGGTGCATACCTGCAATTGTAGCATTGAATTGGGTTCAATCCCCAGCACAACACACATATACAAAAATTGAACAAATAAAGCTATTTTTCTAATAATGACTTTTGCTTTAGCATTCCCAGTGGTAGGATTGCAGGCATGCACCACCTCGCCCAGCTCTAACAATGACATTTTAAAGAAAACACTAGTGTGTTCAAATTGGGGATCTCAGCTGTATAGATGTTATTGGTTTTTATTTTTAAGTAACTTTCTTTGGTATAGATGAATAGCCCCACCCCTCAAGAAGAGTGTAATTTGGTGTTGAGTGGATTTGCTCATATCCCTTGACTCTTTCTCTGAGGCCCAGGCACTTGGTGAGCATTTACAGAACTCCAGACCCAAGCACGAGTCTGTCTTCCCAGCTCATGGCAGTGTTGGGAGCCTGGGAGAGCTGAGCTGAGCCCATCATCCAGGCAGGTAGTTCCCTCAGCGAGGGACACCTTGAGCTTTCTGTGCCGCTCACTCACCCACTGGTGTTTCAAGAAAAAGCCATTGCTCCAATACAATGGAGGAAGCTACTTTAAGTCGCCTCTTCTTACTATTAAAGAGATTTATTGGGGTCAGGAATATAGCTCAGTGGCATAAGTGCCTGCCTGGCAAGCATGAGGTCATGAGTTCGATTTCCAGTACCAAAAAAATAGAGAGATTTATTATCCAACAACTGGGTTGTACACATTTTGAATTTAAAATGCACAGTACACAGAATGTTTCCTTCCAGAAAGTCCTCCTTCCCCTCTCCCACTAAAACTACTGCATTCAGAATTGATTTTCCTTCCTCAGCTGCTTAGCTTACTTGCTCATATTAAGAAAGCATAAGTAATCAAAAATCCACAATTGGATTACATCATTGGAGTGTAACTAAAAGCTTAGAGTGGCTGTGAAATTCAGAACCCTGCAAGGGAAGTTAGGCAGGACTCTCTGCCTGGGATGGCCTTGAATCTCTTGGTATAGAGGCCGACAACACAGCAGAATTGCTCTTCCCCCGCCTCAAGCAGCTTGTCTACATTGGTAGGGCCGAAGCACACAGCTTTCTATGTTTGGGCTAATGCTTATGTGGAAGAAAGAAATCCAGATAAGCCTTGACGTCTCTGCTGTCTTGAAAAACTGAGTTTAAAAACTAGAATCTTATTTGTTGCTGTCTACTAAACCTAGGCTAGAAAGTTCAATTTTATCGGTGTCCTTATTCACAAATGCACATGTAGTTTTGCAAGTTTACCTGAAAGAATCTGCTTCTGTCTGTCTTACACTGTGAAGGAATATGACTATTAGTTTTTTTGTTAGTTTTGTTTTGTTGTTGTTTATTTTGTGTGGGTTTTTTTTGTTTTTTGTTTTTGTTTTTTTGAGAAATGGGGTCTTGTTCTGACTGGCCTTGAAGTTGCTTTGTAACTCAGGTTGGCCTTGAACTTATGGCAATCCTCCTGCCTCAGCCTCCCATGCACTGGGATTATAGACATGTGGCACAATGCCTAGCTGGTGACTATTAGTATTCTAAAACCTGATTTAGTTTGGACTGTTTGACCTTCACTCAAAGTTTTGCTTCTGGTATTGGATACTCCTGCTGGGATCCTTATGGAACTATCATAATTATTTATATCCTGTGTTATACCATATATTATTTGGTTTATTGAAAAAGGGTTGGGTTTTTACCACATACTGCTCCCTTTTTTGCTTCATTTTTAAACGTGAATGCTGATTTTTTTTTTTTTAAAGAATTCTTCCATAGCAGTCATCAGTTGTGATTTGGTTACAAGCTTTGCAGAAGCATATTTTCTCAGCTGCTGCAAAAGTGAAGATAGAGGAGAAAAACCTGTCAAGGGAATTGTTGCCCACTGTTGGTTGAATATTAAAATTGTACTGGCTTTCATCTTCCTGCACCTCAATACTTTCTGCCAGTCCAAGTCAAAACTCAGGAAACATTGTCAAGATATTGGAGACTGCCCTACAGTTTGATCACCAGCCTGCTTCAGTAGATGTTACTTCTTTCTGGCAGGTGCTTTGTCTTCTAAGTAGAGATTTACAAAGCTGATGAGGAGAATAATCAAAGCTATGCACCTTGAATATGAAGCAGACTTTCAGTCTATCTGTCTTGTTTCCTCTTCCCCACTGCTGTGCACAGGCCGATGCGGATAGTTTTTATATGGCATGCAATGGCCGCCAGTTCAACTCCATAGAAGATGACGTTTGCCAACTGGTCTATGTGGAAAGGGCTGAAGTACTGAAATCGGAAGATGTAAGTATGAATGCTTCTTTATTGATTATAAATACATCAGATTGGTATAAAATTAGATGTTAGGGTAGCTGTGGAAATGCCCAGAGTAGGCCAAACTGTAGAAACAAAGTAGATGGATGGCTGCCAAAGGCTGGGGAAGAGAGAAAGAGTGACTGCTAACAGCTGTGTGCTTTGTTTTGGAAGTGACAGAAAAGTTCTAGAATTAGATAGGGGTGACAGTTCTAAGAACTACCCAGTTGTATGCTTTAAAATAGAGAATTTCGGGGCTGGGGATATAGTTCAGCAGTACAGCACCTGCCTGGCAAGCATAAGGTTCTGAGTTTGATTCCCGGCACCAAAAAAAAAAGAGAGAGAATTTTCTTACACAAATTTTACCTCAAATTTACATTCCAAAAAACAATTTTTTTAATTATATTGTTAAAATTGAGCATTCATCTATCCCAGAGCAATGAAACATTGCTTAGAGCTGAAATGTTTTTATTGGAAATATTAACCCTTAATATTCCTTCTAATTGTTAATTCTGTTTTGCTGGTGATTTGCTGTTGCTCTGATCTGCCACCCTTAGTGGGAACCCTCCTTGCAACATGTGCTCATTCAAATCATTTTATTTTAAAAAATGGAAAAAAATAATTTTATAAAATAGCAGATTCAGCTCTTTGAGAATTTTAAGATTGCCTTTCTTTTTAAAGTAGACCTCATAAGTGCTTGCCTGGCAAGCCTGAGGTCATGAGTTTGATTCCCGGTACCAAAAAAAAAAAAAGTAGACCTCGTGCTGAGCGTGGTGGTGCATACACGGCACTGAGACAGGAGGATTGTCATGAATTTGAGGCCAGCCTGGCCTACATCGTGACTTCAAGGCCAGCCTGAACTGCATAGCAAGACACTTGTCTCAAAAAAAAAAAGACAAATGGAGAAGAAGCACACTAATCTACAGTCCCTGAGGAGTAGATATTTATGGGAAATTTCTCAAGCCACATGCATTCAGAGAAAAGAACGTCAAAACAGAGGCCTCATGCTGCAGCACTTGGCACAAAGGAAGCCCAACTGGATCATTCATCACATTTTCTTTCCCTAATCACACAGTAGACCAATTGAAGTAGAATTTATTTTCAAGCTGATTTCAAGGTAAAAAGATAACTAGGCCTACTTTTTAAATTTTCGTTTTGTTTTGTTTTTAGGAAATTAACAGTGGTTATACTGCATGTTGTTATCTTCAAAATAGTTGTTCAGATTACCAGATACTTTCAGTTTTTTGAGACGGTCTTGCTGTGTAGCTCAGGCTGGCCTTGAAATCACCACGTAGCCCAGCCTGGCCTCAAATTCAGTGATCCTCCTGCCTCAGCCTTCTGAGTGCAGGGATTATAGGTGTGTACCACCACGCCTGGCCCCTTTTGTTTTCTTTTTTATTATTTTATTTTTTGTAGTGCTATGAATTGAACCCAGGACCTCATGTAGGCTAGGCAAATCCTCTACCACTGAGCTACATCTTCAGTTTCCCTTTACCCGCTCCGTGGTACTAGGGACCTTCACACTGAGTCTATATCCCTAGGCTTTTTTATTTTGAGAGAGGATCACGCTAAATTATGGGGTTTGAATTTGCAGTCCTCCTGCCTCAGCCTCCTAGAGTGCACCACCACACCTGACTTTTGTTTATCCTTGTATATGTGCCTCTCCACCTTCACATAGACAATCCTTGCTAACTTGCTGGAATCTGGTTTTTGTTCACCATTGTTCCACACCTTAAAGAGTATCATATTTACGTAGCAAGGAGTTAGTGTATGCTGAGGCATAAATAAATGAGTGTTAGTGATACTGTGACCACTAAGTAGATTTTAATGTACTCTGGAAGTATCATTCAGATCACTGCTGGTGTGCTCCTTTTGTTTTATTGGGCTGTATTACAGTGACACACCTTTGGAACTAGAACTAGGAGTCTGGTTGCATTTCAGAGCAGTTTGTCAGCATTTTGGCAGCAATCTTTTCCTGGAATGTCAGGTCAACAAGGGCAGGAATTCTTGTCTCCTTTGTACACCACATAGTCTCAGTGTCCAGCACAGTGCTGGGAATATAAACAGGGCTCAGTCAGTACTTGTGGAATAAACGAATGAATGAATGATCTGCATTGAGCCGTAATGTTGAGAAGATCCTACTAGGAAAACTCTTGTTAAGAGGGGAAGAAGAGATGGCTGTGGGGTACACAGTGAGGCTTACCGTGCGATGTCTCCCTGCAGGGTGCCAGTCTCCCGGTGATGGACCTGACCGAGCTCCCTAAATGTACAGTGTGTCTGGAGCGCATGGATGAGTCCGTGAACGGCATTCTCACCACTCTGTGTAACCACAGCTTCCACAGCCAGTGTCTGCAGCGCTGGGATGACACCACGTGAGTGCAGAGACTGCCCCCACCACAGAAGCCCGTTCCTACACTGTGGGGTGGGGTGTACATGGGAAGGGAAGTCACACTCGGGAAGTGCAAAAGTTGGGAGAGGAGAGTGTCCACAGGAATCCCCGTCTGCTCAGCTTTCACCGAGCAAGGACCTTGCCTGCCTTGCTCCCTGTCGTGCCCATCGTGTCGCGTGGGGCATGGCTTCTGCCCTCAAAAACGTGCAGTTCATTGAGTGAAAGGGTTTGGGTACAAAAGAGGCAGGCTGGATCCTTTAGCTTTTTCTTTTTTTTTTTTTTTTTTTTCAAATCCTTTAGCTTTCTCATAGGAAACCCTGAGCCTCCTTACCTGTGCAAGAACTTGGTATTCTTTCTGCTTATTTCCTTTTCTTGCTTTTACTGACTTGGCTAGGTAGCATCTTGACATTAGGTATACCTGGAGATTGCGTTCTTGGTGCCAATTTAGTCAGCCTCAAATATACCCCACTTTCTGTTTGCCCATCTGATAAAATATATTCTGGACTAGTATTAAGTAGTATTACTTTGTCTTGACTAATAAAAAAGGTTAATTGATTTTTTTCATTGTCCTTTTATTGGCTTCCCCCTGCCCCTGGTACTGGGAATTGAACCCAGGGCCTTTGCACTGAGCCACATCATTAGCCCTTTTTCTGCTTTGTACTTTGAGGCAGGGTCTTGCTAAATAAATGACCCTAGCTGCCCTTGAAATTATGATCCTCTTGTCTCAGGCTCCCAGAGTGCTGAGATTATAGGCCTGTACCACTATGTCTAAATTGTTGGCTCATCATAAATCTAAACTTACAAGGTCAGTAGAGCACTGGATCTTCAACATGATCTTTATTGGAAAGCAAAGTGTCATGTGTGTTTAGTTTTATTGAAAACCTCTTTTTAAAAAAAAAATTTGGTAGTCTGGAATGGTGGCAAATGCTGGTAATCCCAGCATTTGGGAGGCTGAGACAGGAGGATCACTAGTTCAAGGCTAGCCTGGCCTACATAGTGAATTCAAAGTCAGCCTGAACTACATAGACCCTGTCTCCAAAAAAAAAAAAAAAAAAAAGAAGCAGGAAAATCACAAGTTTAAGGTCAGTCTGGGCAATTTAGCAACTTGAACCCTGTCTCAAAAAATAAAAAGGCCTGAGAATAATCTCAGTCCAGAGGCACTAGGTTCATTCCCCAGAACCACCAAAAGAAAAGAAAAACAAGCATTTAAGAGAAGAGGATATAAAGTCCAATTTTGAGACTGGGATGTGGCTCAGTGGTAGAGCAGTTGCCTAGCGTGCAGGAGACCCTGAGTTTGATCCCTAGCATCACTCTCCAAAAAATGTTTCCTGTTTAAAATATTTAGCACGTGACTTGTGTGTGTCATACATTGGGTTAGGCACATAAGTACTAAGCACTGAACATTTTTTTTAAAGTTAATTTTTTTGCTTTTGAGTTCTTTTATATCTAATCTGAACCATTATCTTTGGTGTCCTGAATAGGTGTCCTGTTTGCCGATACTGTCAAACCCCAGAGCCAGTAGAAGAAAATAAATGTTTTGAGTGTGGTGTTCAGGAAGTAAGTCATGGGTGTTGGCAAGAACAGTAACCATAACTTCAGGATTTTCTTCTGTCTTGTGTGGTCTAAATTTTTTCTCAGTCTGAGTTTTTTTTTTTCTTTTGCGTCTGATTTATTTTTTCTTATTGTCTGGCATCAGACAAGACATCCAAATATGTTATTCCTAAGCAAAACACTTTGGTTTTGTTCTCTATTCCTTTAAAAGACTTAGACTTTTATTGACATATTGTGAATGTTTTTTCTTGCCATTTGCCTAAAGTTCTGTAGAAATCAGAGAAAATAATCCATAAAAGCATCCTTGGTTATTGGGTTTTAAACCTATTTATTTAAAATTCCTATAGAGACAGCCCTAAGTGTCATTCTTTGACATCCCCTTCCCATGCCATGTGGGCCAGGTCATGTACTTTTATTTAACTAATTGAGATCTTACCTCCTTCTCGGCAGAACCTTTGGATTTGTCTCATATGTGGCCACATAGGATGTGGACGGTACGTGAGTCGACATGCGTATAAGCACTTTGAGGAAACACAGCACACCTATGCCATGCAGCTCACCAACCACCGAGTCTGGGACTATGCTGGAGGTGAGCGCTGTTCGTTTTCTAATTTGGGTTCATTCTGTAGGGAAACTTTTCCTCTGGAACCTCTCCTCTTTCCCTCACAGCGTGAAGTGTCATCTTCCTAACAGCTGTTGTAAACTTTAATCCTAATGGTGCCCCTGAAGGCACCATTTCCTCAGAATGGCCAGAATTGCACATTATAAAGAGTGTTTATGCTTCCATTCTTGGCCTCTCACTCTCTCTTTAAAATTCAAATGATTTGACCTGTTTTCAAAGAAAGTTAAATGTGTGAAAACAGAATTTCTGTTAGAATTAAAAGCACATGGCATGATCTGGGGCATGGTGGTGCATACCTGTCATCCTAGCACTCTGGAGGCTGAGGCAGAAAGGTCGCAGCTGCAAGTGTGAGGCCAGTCTGGGCTACGTAGCAAGTTTAAGACCAGCCTGAACTATGTATCCAGACCCTGTTTCAAAAAACAACTGGCTAGGGATATAGCACAGCGGCCTAAGCACCTGCCTGGCAAGCACAAGGTCATGAGTTCGATCCCTGGTGCTGCAAAAAACAAAACAAACAAAAAAAAACCCATAAAAAAACATGGCATGCTGGGTGTGGTGGCACACGCCTGTAATCCCAGCACTTGGGAAACTGAGGCAGGTTGATCATTGTGAGTTCGAGGACACCCTGGTTTACAAAGTGAGGTCAGGGCCAGCCTGAGCTGTATATCAAGACTTTTTCTCAAACCAAACAAAAAACATATGGCAACCTTTTTCATTCTGAAGAAACATGAACTTTGATCAACTCATTCTTTTCTTTTTTTCCGTTCTTTAGATAATTATGTCCATCGACTGGTTGCAAGTAAAACAGATGGAAAAATAGTACAGTATGAATGTGAGGGTGACACTTGCCAGGAAGAGAAAATAGATGCCTTACAGTTAGAGGTAAGATACTTACTAGTTATCACTGAGTGCCTGTTCTGTTTCTACTCCTTTTATTCTTCTAACTGGAAAACTTCAACCTTTTAGTTTTGCCATTTACCCTACATATAAACTTTTTAAAAAAAATTTCATCATTGGCTGAAGAATTATTTTGTTTGTTTTCTTTTTTGAAAGTCTAAGCTTCAGCTGGGCGTGGTGGTGCATCCCTGTAATCCCAGCACCTGGGAGGCTGAGGCAGGAGGATCGCTATAAGTTCAAAGCTAGCCTGGGCTACATAATGAGTTCAAGGCCAGCCTGACCTATATAGTGAGACTGTCTCAACAAACAAACAAACAAGCAAAAAACCAGAAAGGAAAGTCTAAGCTTCACTGTGCTTTTATTGCTTTCAGTGTGACATTCCTAATTATGTCAAATTCAGGGTAATTAAGACAGTAAAGGTACTTTCCATAGCTGCAGTAAGACCAGATATAAGAACATTCCTGTTTGCATCACATTAACAGCTGGAAATTGAACAGAAAAAGCCCATAGCATCTTTCTATCCCTGAAATTATTGGGTACAGGGGCTGGGGATTTAGCTCAGTGGCACAGCGCCTGCCTGGCAAGCGCGAGGTTGTGAGTTCAGTTTCTGGTACTGGAAAAAAAAAAAAAGAAATTATTGGGTACATACTTTGTGCTGGCACTTTATGAATCAGAGACTTATGTATTTAAGTGTATACTCAAAGTATATTTTATGAGTTAGAGACATATACTTAAGCCCTTTTTTGAGTATGAATGAATTTGAGGAAACAAAATTTGCACAGTTTGGTTTTTCTCCATAGCAGTAAATCCCAGCCACTGTAAAATTGTCATAAATTCTGTGTTAATGAAGACGAAGTTTCAGATGTCTTTTTTATGTAAATTTTGAAAAAGATTGTTTTAAGCTAGGTGCAGTGGGGCACAACTGTTACCTCAGCTATTTACTATTCTGAGGCAAGAGGATCACAACTTCCAGGTCAGCCTGGTCAACTTAGCAAGACCCTGTCTCAACAAACAAACAAACAAACAAACAAACAAAAAAACAAAAAGAAAGCCAGGCATGGTGCACACCTTTAATCCCAGTCTGTAATCCCCGCATTTCGGAGGTTGAGGCAGGAGGATTGTTGGGAGTTTGAGGCCAGCCTGGGCTACAAAGTGAGCTCAAGGCCAGCCTGAACTGCACAGCGAGACCCTGTCTCAAAAAAAAAAAAAAAAAAAAAAAAAAAAAATGAGAAGGGTTGGGGATGTACCTCAGTACAAGGGGAGCGGGATGTTGAAGGATGTTATCTTTTAGCCACTATTTCTGGTGCTGCAACTGTAGCACGGAACCAACTCCCTACCCCCATGAACCGTGTATTCTGATAGCACAGACATTCTCCTAATTGTCCCTTCCCTCTAGCCTACAAACATATTTAGGTCCTTTCTAGAATGGTCTATCCAAAATGGGGCTGTGATTTTACCCCTGCTTGGCCTTGGATTCCCCTTCACTCACAGTTTATAATATACCACCACAGCTCTGACTTGGTCCAGTAGTCCTCTGGGTTAAGAGCTCTGTGATTATGTCTCCTGTCTGTCAAGAACCCTGTCAGAAGTTCTAGCAGATCTGCCATAAGCCATCTGTCCTTCCCTGTAGTTACAGCATTGTCCGGTCGGTCATTCGTGCGCTGGTACCATAGTGCTGCTGCAGTTGCTGGGCACAGTGCTAAGGAAGCCCCAAAGGGGAGCTTAACCAAGCGTGGGTAGATGGAGAAGTTGGTTTGAGTTACATACAGATTTCTTTTTTCTTTTTTTTGTAGTGCTTGAGATTGAACCAGAGCCTTGTGTATTCTGAACACGTGCTCTACCTCTGAGCCACACTCCAGCCCTGAGATATACGTAGATCTGAAACCACTGTGGTTCTTTTTAAAATCAGCCAGACCAGTATAAGTTTTATATCTGTATTTTTTTTGTTCTTCCCAATTAGATTTTAAACCCCAGGGGGGCAGGGGAGGGGCAGGAGTATAATTGTCATTTCTATGGCCCTTGGTCCAGTGCCTGTTGAGTAGAGTGGACCTCTAGCATAACATACATGTGTGTATGTGTGTGGCTTTGGGCAATCAAACCCAGGGGTGCTCTACATGGAGCAACATCCCCAGCACTTTTTATTTGGTGAGAAGATCTTGCTAAGTTGCCTACGCAGCACTCAGACTTGCAGTTCTTCTGCCTCAGCCTCCCTAAATGCTGGGATTACAGACATACACCACCGACAATTCTAGCTCCCAACATAGCCCCAAGCCTGGTTGGCAGTGCTTGGCTCTGAAGGTGCCTCTGAAATGCTGGGATTACAGACATACAACCACCCCCGGGTTTTAACATACATTCTGATGAGCCAAGAATGGTGGCCCACACCTGTAGTCCCAGCTACTCCAAAGGCTGAGTCAGCAGGATCACATGAGCCAAGGTATTTGAGACCAGCTTGAGCAACATAGCAAGACCCTACCTCCTAAACAAAAACAAAAAAGTACATTCTGGTGGTTACATCTATTCTTCTATAAATCATTAAAGATCAGATTTTAATTGGATCTCATAGACTGATAACAGTGACTTACATTTATTCTCTATTTCCAGTATTCATATTTACTAACAAGCCAACTGGAATCTCAGCGAATCTACTGGGAAAACAAGATAGTTCGGCTAGAGAAGGACACAGCAGAGGAAGTAAGTCTGGTTTGGTGACTGCTGACATGCCATGTGGAAGGTAGCCTGGCAGTGTGTGGAAGAAGGCAAAGTACAGGGGGAAAGGAATCTTTATAGAGTTTTCCCTTCTTAGTGTGATGGGTAGAGAACCATTTTGCCTCTAAAAAAAACCTTGGATTTTAGGTATTGAGTTTTTTGGTATTTTAGAATTTTAAGAGGTTTTGTGTGTTTTTTAGCCTCAATCATATTTACTAGCACCTCATCTAATTCCATTAAAAACATAGAAGTATGTACATGAGGGTTTGTAATTTGAGTCGAACTGTTGGTTTGTCACCCTGGGAACAGTTGTTCTCAGGACCCTATCTCAGAAAATAATTAATTGGGAAAAGGGGGGTGATACCGTTCAGTTCTTCCAACATGTAAAAGAGAAAAGTGGTGTGATCTTAGTGAAAAGCTGTGTGGTGGCCCCAAACTACTTGCTTGATTTTTCCCTTGTTTCCAGCATCTGCAGGAAACCCTAAGGGTTCCAAAGAAGGTAGTTTGAAAACCATTTAGGGGAGGGGGAAGGAGGAGGGGAAAGGGGACATAAAGAGAATTAAGATGTGTTCTGTACATGTACCAGCTCCTGCAGTGAACATAATCATCACGTACTGCAAGCATGTACTAATAAAAAGAAAGAAAAACACCCAGTGAGCACTTGAAGTTTGTGTATAATTAGGACTTTAAACCAGAAGATAGTATGTATAATCCAACCATTCCTTTGGTAGCAAATGAAGGCTTTTAAAATGATTCTCTTAGTGACTTGCAAGTCCTGACCATTACCTGCACCTTCAGAGCCAAGCACTGCCAACCAGGCTTGGGGCCTAGGTTGGGAGCTAGAATCGTCTAGAAGCCCTGCAGGCAGGGTCCTGAAGCCCAGGCTCTTGTGCTATGCCCATGGGCTCTACTTTCTGAGTATGACTATAAACGTGAGAAATAGGATTTCTTTCTTAAAAAATACCTGCGTGACAGTAGCTTTTAAATAATCTGTAATTAAAAGTTATTGATGCAGTTCTGGCAAGAATCTTCCAGGCAGCAGCAGTGCCTTTCCAGAGGCACTCAAGGTCACTTGCCCTTCTGGTCTGAATAGGGCTTGATTGCAGCACATGCGGGGAAGGACTTGCCTCCCTGCGCTCGCTGGCGGTGGAGCACACTCACTGCCACATGGTGTCACATTATGGACTCACGGGGAGGCGTTCTGGCAACACAGCTGCAGCCTCACTAATGGGTTTTTCTACGGGAGACACCGGCGTGACCACCTAAAGTGCTTTCTGTAGCTCCCTGAGAGCCCAGCTCAGGATTCTCTCTGCCCTTTAAGATTCTTTAGGATTAACTGCATTCTTGAAGACGTGCCATGGGAAGTAAGTCAGGGGCAGGAAAAGGAAGCACCAGAAAAGTGCTTGTGCTTTTACCTTCAGGTGGGTAAGACGGACCCCAGGGCCGTGCCAGATGAAAGCTTGCAGTTTTTGAAAGGGTGCTTTTGTTTTCCAGTAGTAAATGTCATTTATCCTTAGAAGTTCATAGCCAATGGAGTCCTCTTGTTCTGCCACTGGTACTCTATTTAGTATTTTGGTAGTGCTAATGGTTGAGTGCAGGGCCTTGCACATGCTATGTCAGTGCTCTACCACTGAGCCACACCCCAGCTCTTATTATTAATTTTTAATTTGGAAAGAGGGTTATGCTGCTGTTGGTAAATTGCCCAGGCTGGCCTCAAACTTGTGATACTCCTGGCTCAGCCTCCCGAGTAGCTAAGATAACAGGCATTGCACCACCAGGCCCGGCTACACTAACATTTTACATTTATTCTGTTATATATGTATTTTTTACTACATATAACACCAAACTCATTCACAGTCAGCTAAGAAAACACTGATTTAAATGTTTTCCATGAGGCTTGTTGCATGAATCACAGTTAGGATCTCTGCTAACTAAGAGTTCAGATGTAGTCCAGAGGTCATGTCTCCTTTGCTGTAGAGCTTTTACCTCTGGTAGAGCAAGGCTTAGAACTTGAATTTGGACCCAGATTTGGTCCTAGACAGGATTCACCACATTCCAGCTATGTGACTTTGGGCAATGCCATGCATTTCTCTAAGCCTCAGTTTCTGTCAGTAGTTGACTTATCTACAACACTGGCTTATTCAGAGTAAACAGCATATTCCCTGTGAAACACATAGCCAGTGCCTGGAGTATAGGATTTAGGTTCTTGATCACTTTTAGTCCCTATAATTACTGCCTTGTGGTCCAGGTCCACTGAGCTTCCCCATGTCCTCTTCCTACCTCATCTTTATCCAGTGTCCTTAGACAGTAGAGTTGAGGCAGTTTCCAAGTCCATACAGGCCCATCAGCGTCAGCCCAGTGTCCCCCCTAGCAGTGTTCATTTCATAGATATATTGCTTTTATAATAAAAAAGCACCAGCCGAGCATGGTGGCACATGCTTTTAATCCCAGCACTCAGGAGGCTGAGACAAGAGGATTGTTGCGAGTTCGAGGCCAGCCTGGGCTACAAAGTGAGCTCAAGGCCAGCCTGAACTGCATAGTGAGACCCTGTCTCAAAAGGAAGAAAATTAAATAAAAAAGCACTGACTGCATTTATTTTGTATGCCTTCACAGTACATGAAAAAATGAATAGTTTAGAAAACAATAAAAGCTAGCTAGAATCAGCTACCACAAGTTTCTTAGATGAACAGTGGGTAATAACTGTTGGACTATAAGGTCAGGAGGAAAAGGCATTGGGGAGTTAATAATAGGAGGCTCTGCTTGGCCTCTGCCAGACCATCTCCTGCTTCAGTGCCTAAGGCTTGCTGGTTACTTTTCAGCTGCTTCACTGGGTATTCAGCAGCTTGATATCTTCCTCATCCTGGTATAGAGAAATAGTAAGGATGAAAAGGATTCCTCAAAAATTTTATTTCTGGGGCTGAGAGTATAGCTCAGCAGCATAAGCGCCTGCCTGGCAAGCACAAGGTCCTGAGTTCAATTCCCGGTACCAAAAACAAAAACAAAAATTTTGTTTCTGGGCCAGGTATGGTGGTACAAACCTGTAACCCTAGCACAAGTCTAGCCTGGGCAACTCAAAAATTTTGTTTTGTTTTGCGTCTCACTATGTAGTTCAGTTCAGGCGGGCCTTGAAGTCACTATGGAGCCCAGGATGGTCTCAAACTTACAACTATCCTCCTGCCTCAGCCTCCCAAGTGCTGGGATTACAGACATGTGCCACTATGCCCAGCAGTTGTGTTTTTTTTGTTTTTTTGTTTTTTTTTTTAAAGGACTGTGGACATAGCTCAGTTGGAAGGCCCTGGGTTTAATCCCTAGTACTGGAAAAAAGAAAGAAAAAAATATATATGTTGTTATCAGAAAAATTCTTTCAAATGATTACCTCACCCTTTTCAAAGTGCTTTGTCAAAGTCATAGCAAATAATTGGGGTGAAAAGGGTGACGTTAGTCCCAAGGACCACAAAATTTTACCTGTTCTCTTATTTGCTCTTTCAGATTAACAACATGAAGACCAAATTTAAAGAAACGATTGAGAAGTGTGATAGTCTGGAACATAGACTAAATGACCTATTGAAAGAAAAGCAGTCTGTGGAAAGGAAGTAGGTATAATTGGTTCATTAATGTGCTCTTCTTTCTTTCTCTCTCTCTCTCTTTTGAGACAGGGATTCACTATGCAGCTCAGGCTAGCCCTGAGCTCACTTTGTAGCCTAGGCTGGCCTCGAACTTGCAACAATCCTTCTGCCTCAGCCTCCCAAGTGCTGGGATTACAGGTGTGCGCCACCATGCCTGGCTCTTTCTTTCTTCCCTTATTTATTTTTGGTTTTTGAGACAGAGTCTTGCTATGTAGTTCAGGTTGGTCTTGAACTCACTGTGTAGCCCAACCTGCCCTTAGATTTGCTGTGATTCTTCTGCCTCAGGGTCTCCCAGGTGCTAGGATTACAGGTGTGCATCACTACACCCAGCCTCAGTTCTTTAAATTAGCTACTTTGGAGGGCCAGGGATATAGCTCAGTGGCACAAGTGCCTGCCTGGTAAGTGCAAGGTCCTGAGTTCAATTCTCAGTACCAAAAATAAAAAAATAAAATAAATTAGCTACTTTCTGGTCACAGGCTTTATAAACTGATAATTTCCTTCAGTCCTTCAGAAACATTTCATTTTCATTTGGGTACCATAAATCACCAGGTTTTCAGGGGGCTCTCCAGCAGATGGAGCAAACTTACTATGACTTGTCTTTTACTAAAACATGCAGTGCTTTCTGAAAGGTAGGTGCTAGAATGCAGCACTCTCCTGCTATCTCTGGGCTTGATGTGTGTGCAGATTTCTTCCATGTTAGTCTGTGCAAAGCAGCTTCCTCATGTCAAGAGCCTGTAGCTTCTTTGAGCCATGGTGGCAGAGACCTACTGGAAATACAGAATCTGGCCTTTGACAAGAAATAAAGGTCCGGGATACTGACTATGGAGTAGAAAGCTCAGAAAAGCATGGCAAGAACATTCTTTGCCGCTGTTCTTGGGAAAGAACATTGTTACTGATTGCAGTTATCTTTTTGGCTTAAGTTATATTCATAGAAATGATTGGATTTTTTACTTCCCTACAGATGGATCAAAAAAAAATTTCAGGGAGATAACTGGTCGTTAGAAATTGTTTAAATAAGCTTTTATTTTGGAATAAATTTAGACTTACACAAAGATTGAAAAGATAGTAGTGTATAGATTTCCCATGTGTCCATCACCCTTTTTTTTTCCTACTGTCAAAAAAAATGTGTCTACAAAACAATTGTCTAGCTGGGCATGGTAGCACACATGTGTAATTCCACCACTCTAGGACACTGAGGAGGAGGATTGAAAGTTTAAGCACAGCCAGGTGTAGTGGCACATGCATGCAAATCCAGCCCTTGGGAGACTGAGGCAAGGGATTGCTGCTTGAGTTTGAGGCTAGCCTGGACTACATAGTAAGACCCTGTCTCAAAAAATCAAAAACAAGTTCAAGTCCAGCCTAGGCAACTCAGCCATTTAGTGAGACCTGTTTAAGGGGTTGAGACCAAGCGTGCTGGCACATGTTTGCAATCCTAGCACTCTGAGAGGCTGAAGCAGCAGGATTGCAATGATCAAAGGCCTTGGGTTCCCTCCCTAATACTGCAAAAACAAACAAAAAAGCTCTTAATATTTTAGTCGTGGAAAATATATACATGCCACACAAAGTTTGTCATTTTAACCATTTTGAAGTGTACAACTTGGTGTCTGTTATGTGCATTCTCAGTGTTGTGCAACCTCCACAGTTGTGTTTCCAGAATTTTTCATCATCCCAAACAGAATCTGTCATCAGAATTTTCTAACTATTATAAAACAACACTGCACCAAGCGTGGTGGCACATGCCTGTAATCCCAACACTCAGGAGGCTGAGGCAAGAGGATCGTTGCGAGTTCAAGACCAGCCTGGGCTATTAAGTGAGCTCAAGGCCAGCCTGAACTCACTAGCAAGAACCTGTCTCAAAAAAAAAGACCAAAAAAAACCCAACACTGCAATATTAATGGAAATCCAAATCAGAAGCCATGGGTAGTGGCACATGCATATAATTCCAGCTATCTGAAAGACAATGGCAGGAGGAGCAAATGATTAGGGCAGCCTAAGCAAAATGGTGAGACCCTATCTCAAAATAAAAAGAGGGCAGGAGTAAAGTTCAGCACTCAGGTTTAATGCCTAGTATCCCAAAAAATGAATTCTCCTCACAAGTTTAAGTGAGGTAAAAACAAAGTTGGCCAGCACTCGGGAGGCTAAGGCAAGAGGATTGCTGCAAGTTCAAGGCCAGCCTGGGCTACATAGTGCCTCCAGGCCAGCCTGAACTGCATAGCAGAGACCCTATCTCAAGAAAAAAAAACAGAACTGGAAGTGCTTTTTTACTCGCTGGGTCCTGCTGTCTGGAGGTAACCATTATCAACAATATCAGTGAATATTTCTTCTTCCAGATCTTTAGCTCCACCCACATAAACATCTCACCTACATCATCTTTTCTTCTACCAAAAAAAAGTAAGAGCCGGGTGTGGTGGCACACACCTGTAATCCCAGCACTGGAGAGGCTGAGGCAAGAGGATTGATGGAAGTTCGAGGCCAGCCCAAACTGCAAAGCCAGACCCTGTCTCAAAAAGACCGCCCCCCCCCCAAAGAAAGTAAAAAAAATAAATAAGTACTCTCTTTGGTAAAGTACTGTTTTGGAGATGGTTTCTCATACTGGCACATCTAGATCTAGCTTGATCTTTGTAACAGTTGGATGGCCTGCATGGTGTAGATGATGAACCATAATAATTTCAACCAGTCATTTAAATTCTCATGTCTTACACTTACATAAAACTTTTTCTTTTCTTTTTTTTTTTTTTGAGACAGGGTCTCACTATGGAGTTCAGGCTGGCCTCAAACTCATAGCAATCTTTCTGCCTCAGCCTCCCAGCTACTGGGATTACAGGCATCTATCACCACAACCAGCTCTGTAAACATTTTTGCAATAAGCATCTTTCTCTGTTTGTCTTTTTGCTCAATCCCAAGTATATCTGTTCTGTGAGATTAAAAAAGCAGACTAGCTGTGTCAGAGTGCATGTGAATTTTTTTTATTTTTGTACATACTGCCAAGTTGACTTCCAGAGAGAGTTTGTACCAGTTCACGCTCCAGTGCCAGCACGTAGGAGTGCCTCATTTCCTGTGTCTGAGCCTTTTGGCATTCTGATATATAAAAATGGGCTCTCAAATGGTGTTTTAATTTGTAATTCTTTACTTATGAGTAAGATTGGGCAGCCAGAATCCTCACACCCAATTCTTGAAAACCCTTTGGTTAGACATAAACACCTTTTCTTCTCCAGCAAATGCAATGAGGTCAGAGCCCTTGACTCTCCAAGAATTTCATTGTCCCTCATAACTTCCTTATCACAACTATCATCTCTGAAGCACCTATTTAGCCACAGCTGCCAAACAGAGAAGCGTTAGAGTTTTTACCATGAGTCATACACATTTCTGCTATTGAAAATTTTCAGATGCTTTTAAAAAAGTGTCTTGAGAGTGCACCTGGGTAAGATTCTTACTTGGCATAGCTGACCACAGTGGCATTGGTCTCCTGCCGCATTGGAGGAGAGGCCTGCCAGAAACGGGTGCTGAGGTCCTGACTGCTATTTGTCCCAGTACGGAAGGGGGGCTGTGTCAGCAAGTGAAAAACATGCCTTTGTCTTCCTTTGTTTTGCAAAAGGTGCACTCAGCTAAACACAAAAGTGGCCAAACTCACAACAGAGCTCCAGGAGGAGCAGGAAATGAACAAATGCTTGCGAGCCAACCAGGTCCTCCTGCAGAACAAGCTGAAGGAGGAGGAGAGGTTATTGAAGGAGACCTGTGACCAGAAAGACCTGCAGATCACTGAGATCCAGGAGCAGCTGCGCGACGTCATGTTCTACCTGGAGGCACAGCAGCAGATCAGCCACCTGCCTGCTGGGGCGCGGCAGGAGATCCAGGAGGGACAGATCAACATCCCCATGGCCTCAGCCTCCAGCCCCTCGCCTTCAGGGGGCAATGGGAAAGTGCCGTCCAGGAAGGGCCGCAGCAAGAGGGGCAAGTGAGCTCCAGAAAAACAGTCCCTGAGACTGTCCGGGCGCTTCAAGGGTGTGCCGGGACCTTCGGCAGAGTGGGAGGGTGGGCCCTAATAAGTACAAGTGAGGATCAAGCTGCAGTGTTTGGCTCTTTCATTTGCTAGTGTGTGGTGTAGAGAATGTAGAGGCTGTTGTCGGGAGAGCTGGTGGCAGTGGGCAGTGTTTTCAGTGGTGGTAAGAGCTCACTAACCTCAGACATCCTAACGACCATTTTGCCTTCCTTCTTGGTAGATGCCCCACCTCTGCTGTGCGTTCTTCTGTTATGTTTCTTGAGTTGGAATATTTGTCGTTTATTTCTTGGGCAGGTTTAAGACAGTTTTTTTGTAACCTCAAAAGTAATGTTACCTAGCACTGAAGCACTAAACTTCATGAAGGTCATAGCTGCTGCTTTAAAGAGAGGTTTCTGTCAGGCGTGGTGGCGCACCCCTGTAATCCCAGCACTTGGGAGGCTGAGGTAGGAGGATCATTGTAAGTTTGAGACCAGCCTGGGCTACAAAGTGAGCTCAAGGCCAGCCTGAACTGCATAGCGAGACCCTATCTCAGGAAAAAAAAAAAAAAAGAGGTTTCCATTGGCTGCTGAGGAGCTAGGAAAGTTTCCTACCATCACTGTTATATTGTCATTGCTCCCTTCCTCTGGGGAGTTGAAGAATTGTTTGAATATTGTATGAAGAGAGGGAGGGTTGTAAAGAAGGCGCTGGCTTGGCATCACGAGCCATCTCTTCTTGTTCTGGGGCTAGCCAGAAAGAACAAGCAGCCCAGGCCCAGTTGAGTAGACCCAGTGTTGGAAAAATGATGGCAGTGCCACTTTATTTTTGATGATTATGCACCATTATGCACTTCAAATATGAGAGGCTTATGGGGCATGGTAGTACACATCTGTAATCCCAGCACTCCCAGATTTGGGAGGCTGAGGCAGGAGGATCACTGCCAGTTGGAGGCCAACCTGAACTGCATATCGAGACGGTGTTGCAAAAAAAAGAGAGGCTTAATGGCTACTCCAAGATTCAAATCTGTGTGGTTTTCCTAGCATCGAGCAAAAATAAACAAGGCAATTTATCATTCCTGTGAAAATATAAAGTGAGGCTTCTGACTAGCTAATTCTGCATTTTGCTAGGATCAGTATTTTCTGAATGTTTACAAAAGATCAGGCTGCATGTTCAGGTTGCAGCTAGAGGGAGCTTGGGCAGAGTTTCAATTATGCTTTCAAGATACAACCAAAGGCTGTTTCTAAATCCTAAAATTGGATTTCAACAGAGCCCCCTTTTAAACAGTCATGTAATGTTTGTTGTGGGCCAACAGAGGGGCTGTGTACTTCTTCTCAAGCCAGAAATATCCAATAATCCCTAATATGGAGGAATGGAGCAAAATCGAAGCAAGACCCATATTGGAAGTGGGCATCTAGAACAGGGAGCTAGGTAGGTTACTGTTAAATGATGGGTTTTGTTTTCTTCTTTATTATTAATCAAAGTTTTTAATTATCACATTTTGGATTTTTTTTAAAAATCCATTATTGAAGCCCATCCCCTTTGACTTAAATGTCTCCCGTGTTACTTATTAACACATCAGTTGTATTGTTGATCACCATCCAGTTTCGTGGGATGTGCTGCCGCATTTCTCAGAAAACCTCACCAGTAACTTTGAAAAATGAATATGCTTGGACATTCTCAGTTCTTACTTAGGGTGGGCTAACACTCCATGGACTTAAGTGTACAGATCTTAAAGCAGGAGTGGGAATATAAAGCATAACCTAATTCTCTTTCCTATAGAGATTCTATTTTATTTAAAATCTATTTTTACACTAGTTAGAATCCTGCTGTTTTGGCCAAGTACTTGTCTTGCATGTCTGACCTTGCAGAAGCTGGGGTAGATCGTAGCATACTAATTAAGAGAATTAGAAGTAGTTTACAAGCTCGCTCCTTGTCTCATTATGAGCACCTCCATCCAGCGGCTCTGCCACCAGCTGGAGAGCAGTCTTTCGGCACAGGTGGAATACATGCTGGGAAGGCTGTGCCCAGAGGGGTGAGCAGATAGGCAGATGTTTCCAAACTACTTGAAGGTTTAAAAGAAACTTTCCAGGAAAACAAATCAAGGAAAATGTTATTTCAAAAGAAGGTCAAAAGTTACATTTGAATTTAACAAAATTAAATGAGATAGAAGCTGTTAATGTTTTCTTCAGGATGGAAATGAACCGTTTAATTTACCTCTACTATCTTGAATAATAAAATTCTATTAAAATAACCCAACTTTGAAATTACTCTGCCAGGGGTGAAGTTTGTGTTCTGTGACGTTTGTTCGGAAGCATGTATCCAATGATCTAAGTGCCAGTGGCCTGGACTTAGAAAGCAGCATGAAAATCAGCTCAGCACTATGGTGAGCCACTAAATTTTCCATCTTTTCGGCCCTTTCTTCCAGCTCCCCAAACTACTGAATGCCAGGCATGGTGGCCCGGGCCTATAGTCCCAGCTACTCTGGAGGGTATGGGAGAAGGATCCTTTTTGTCCAGAGGTTTTAAGATCCCAGCTCAAAAAAAAAGTGGAACCAGATATATGAACAAGAGAAAATATCTGAATCTAGAGGCTTAGGATCAGGGAAGACCCAGATGTACAACTTTTTCTCCTTTTTTGTCTTTGTGATATTAAGTTTCACTGTGCAGCTTAGGATGGCTTTGCACTCACTTTGTACCCCACGCTGGCCTCGAATTTGCAGTGGTCCTCTTGGCTCAGCCTCCTACCTGCTAGAATTACAGGCCTGCACCCCCCCCCCACGCCTGGCTCCAGCAGACAGCTCTAGAAATTGAAAAGCAGTTTTGTACACGTATGTCTTTTTCCAGTCTCCCCACACACACACTCACACACACACACCACGATGAAACTATTTTTTATTTTGGAAACAAATGTGACCTGTTAGGATATATTGAGTAATGTAAGTCACCTAAAGCAACTCCCTGTTTATGTAGCAAAAGTCCTCATCCAGAGGCTGGGAATCTCACGCAGACAGCAGCCACTGGGGTTGAGCACTTGCACTCTTCTGTCATCGTTTAGAAAACCCTCTCCTGGTACAAGGTCTATTCGTAAGATTTGGTGGCCACACATGATGCCACAGTGCTTGGGCTGGTGGCATATTTTGGATCTAAGGGCTTACGTTTAAAAAATAATTACTGCTGGGCGTGGTGGCACACGCCTGTAATCCCAGCACTCAGGAGGCTGAGACAGGAGATTCATTGCGAGCTCAAGAGCAGCCTGGCTTACAAAGTGAGCTCAAGGCCAGCCTGAACTGCATAGTGAGACCCTGTCTCAAAAAGACAAAAAAAAATTACTTTTGAAGGGGCAGCGATGTGCTCAGTCTGGCCTTAAGCTTGGGATTCACCTGCCTCAACCTCCTGAGTAGCTGGGCTTAGAGGCGTGCACCACCACACTCTGCTGCACACATCTGGAGGAAACTTGCTTTCTCTGAGGTAAAGCTGCATTCCTTCCTTTGGCAGAAGGGATTCATCTGAGTCAGAACCAGCTCCTGCTTCTTCGATGCTGCAGAGGACATCTGAGCCCCCCAGAGACCCGGCAGTTACCTTACAAACCTTAGGGCACCCCCGGGTATTCTGCGGCAGGCTCAGTGTGGCCAGCCCGTTTCTGTCACTCTGTGCTGGGGGTGGACCCTAAGGCCTTGCATGTGCTGGGCAAGTGCTCTCCCACTGATCTCACCCCTATCCCCTTTCATCGTTGCTGTGAAAATTCTTAAGTTGGGCGTTCTAGAATATCTGTATAGTGGCTACACCAACAGATGCAGCTTTTAAAGTTAAAATTTTTAAGTGACAGTGAAGCAGTTAAGGAAAGTAACGAGACAAGTGTCTCCTCCGCTGTGCAATAAGGATTTGAGTTTTCCCTAGACATATTCTGTGTTCTTCCTCAAGCAAACCAAAAACATTGTTGGTTCTTGAGTAGTAGGAGAAGTTATATAAGGCTTCTCTCTTTGTATTGGGAGAGTGGGGTTCTGACCTCTTTATCCTAATTAATGTCACAATCAACTCCTTTATACCATCTTTTCATTTTTTTAATGAAAACCCTTCTTTACCTCGAGTTCCTGAAATACATCCCTGGGAAGCTCACAGATACTTCGGAGCGCAAGGACTGATGTTGGGAGCTGTACTTCTGGGAACCAAGAGGCTCAGATGCACTGTAGCTAGGTGCTCTTCAGGAGCGTGGCCCAGTCTCCCTGTAATCCTGCAAGCACAGGAGAGAGCACGAAAGCTGGTCTGCAGTCAGCTTCATCTGGATTTTGCCTTCTTGCCCCAGTACAGGAAGAGATGAACAACTTGTTTCTACAAGATGTTTCCAGGCCTTCAGGACCTAATGTTGAATTGCTTCAGGTCAAAACATCTCACTAGAATCATCTAGAAAATGTGGATTTGGTACTTGGCACGGAGCTGCGCTGGTGCAGATAACATTTGCTACTCCAAGGCTAATTACCAAGCTCACTGAGTGAACTAAAGCAGCTTTGTTTCTTTTCAGACCTTGCTCTAAATCCCTGTTCAGATCTAACCCGAGATTATCTCAAAATTAATTCAGGGAGTTTAGTCCGAGGGGAAACGAGTGAACCTACCTTGAGAGTTTTGCAACACAAAGGCTTGTGAAACCCAGGGTAGATAGGCCCTTGTACAAAGCAACCGATGGTGCAGTTCTTTTCAAATGATAGAAGTCTGAGCACAGCACTGATATAACTGTCCAAAGGGAGAACCAGTTCTGGCCTGGCCTCCATGGAGATGTCATTTGCCATACTTTACCCAGAAGCAGCAGATCCCAGACCAAATATACTTTAGGTTTGTTGAAAAAAGAAGAGCCCTGCCAGGCGTGGTAGTACGCATCTGTAATCCCAGCACTCAGGAGGCTGAGGCAGGAGGATTGCCACAAGTTCGAGGTCATCCTGGTCTACCTAGTGAGTTCAAGTCCAGCCTGAATTACAGAATGAGACCCTGTCTCAGAAGAAAAAAGAAAATAGAAAGAACAGCTCTAAACTGCATATGTCATCCCAGCACTAGGGAGACTGAGGCAAGAGGGTCATGAGTTTAAGGGCAGCTTGGGCTAGCTGGTGAGACCCTGTCTCAGACAAACAAAATATACTAAGAAGAAAGAGCCCCGGCTCCATAGCTCAGCAAGTAGTGTGTGGTATTGATTCCCAGCACCACCAAAAATAACGAAGAAGAGCCCACTGAGATCCCCTTTAGCTGTATGGATTCCCGATTGTAAATTCTCAATGATTTGGTGAGGGGTCTCATAGGCAAAAATACCAGACTTTGACCAGAGCACCACAGAAGTCAAGCCCCGTGTAAAGGAATGAGGTGTTTCCAGGACTGGGGCTTGCCGTGTCACCTTACATCATTAGCATACTGCTCAGCACCAGAGAACGTCAGTGCTGACTAAAAGCAACACAAACTCATTTCTGGAGCAAAAAGAAGCAATCACAGAGAAAGACCCAGAAGCGGAGAAGAGC